AAAGATATATTGTATTTACAGGAAATTACCTTTATTCATGAGTTACCTAATAAATCTTTATAGTGAGGCAAACTTTTAAATTCTTTTAGCATTTTTTTTCAGATACAGGGTGTCCCAGAAATTATGACATTAAACTAAATGTTGATTCTAACCTAATAAAGGTATTGTAATCTTGGTTCATTTGTAGTACTTAATTCACTTACAAGGAAGCAGCTAGAGCAACTTGTACAGTATACCGTACGTACAGTAGCGTTGTAAATAGTTTGAAGAAAAAAATCATAAAAAACTTCCAAGATCTAAAAACTATATTATTATGAAGTTTTCTTTTATTGAACTTTGCAATATTTTTATCCTAAAAAACATTATAAGATCATAAATGATCCTTACGTGTGGCATTGTTTTTTGCATCGTTTTTGCAATGTTTTTGCATCGTTAAAGGATCGTTTTTCGCATATATCTTCTGTCAGGGTCAAAATTGGGCATACTTAAACGAATAAAAATTTGTTTAAAATAAAAAATTATAAAACATTTGCTAACTTTTGATCCTGAAAGCAAATATTTGCAAAAAATAACGACTAAGAAACGTCAGCTCTTAGAAAGATTAATGTGTGTTGTTAATAAACGATTGGATTTGCTTTCTTCAATTGAATAAAAGCAAATTTGTAAAAATTAAAATTTTAAATCACATGATTTGTTGAGCATCCATGTTGATGAAAAGCTAGCTAAGGTATGAACAACTCTTACGGGGAAGTTCGCCTCTTTTCATGATTTTAGATTTTTACTGTTTCCTTTAGAGATATATTGGTGACATCTCTACCTAGATACATGTACACAATGAGAAGGAAGGTGTGCATGAATACATACCTTGATACATGTACACAATGAGAAGGAAGACGTACATGAATACATACCTTGATACATGTACACAATGAGAAGGAAGGTGTACATGATTACACACCTTGATATATGTACACAATAAGAAGGAAGGTGTACATGAATACATACCTTGATACATGTACACAATGAGAAGGAAGGCGTATATGAACACAATCCTTGATACACAATGAGAATGAAAGGTGTACAATGTACATGAATACATACCTTGATACATGTACACAATGAGAATGGAAGGGTAAGGAGGATAAGAATACATACCTTGATACATGTACACAATGAGAAGGAAGGTGTACATGAATACATATCTTGATACATGTACACAATGAGAAGGAAGGTGTACATGAATACATACGTTGATACAAGTACTCAATGAGAATGTAAGTTGTACATGAACACAAACCTTGATACATATATACAATGAGAATGAAAGGTGTACAATGTACATGAATACATACCTTTATACATGTACACAATGAGAATGCAAGGTGTACAATGTACATGAATACATACCTTGATACATGTACACAATGAGAATGGATGGGTAAGGAGGATAAGAATACATACCTTGATACATGTACACAATGAAAATGGATGGGTAAGGAGGATAAGAATACATACCTTGATACATGTACACAATAAGAATGGAAGGGTAATGAGGATAAGAATACATACCTTGATACATGTACACAATGAGAATGGAAGGACAAGGAGTATAAGAATACATACCTTGATACATGTTAACGTTTTCATTTTTCAGAAAAACGATCGTTTCTTTATGATAACGACGACGAAAAATCGAAAACGAAACGATCGTTTTTTTAAAAAAGTTCGTTCTTTAAAAATGGTCGTTTTTAAAACGATCGTTTTTATAAAGTTCGTCTTTTGTTAACGATCTTTAACGACGACCCTTTGTTAACGATTGTTAACGACGGACCTTCGTTAACGATCGTTAACGACGACCCTTCGTTATCGATCGTTAACGACAACCTTCGTTAACGATCGTTTACGACGACCCTTCGTTAACGATCGTTAAAATTGTTAACGACGGACCTTCGTTAACGATCGTTAACGACGACCCTTCGTTAACGATCGTTAACGACAACCTTCGTTAACGATCGTTTACGACGACCCTTCGTTAACGATCGTTAACGACAACCCTTCGTTAACGATCGTTAACGACGACCCCTTCCTTAACGATCGTTAACAAAGAGAGGAAACCGACCTGAAGGGCATCTGTACTTATCATTGAGTAGTTTTTAAGAAAATATCAAGGAGTTTTAACTCCCCCACAACTGTTAAACATCATGTAAGACGACATTCAATAAAGTTGCATGTAATTTTTTTCCAAAAACGACCGTTTTGATAAAGTTCGTCGTTTCGTTAACGCTCGATAACAAAAACCCTTCGTTAACATGATTGTCGCTAAAAAAAAATTTCAAAAACGATAGTTTTTTTAAACAATCGTATAAAAAACGGTCGCAAATCGTTTTATTAAAAACGATCGTTTTCAAAAACGATCGCTATTCGTTTTCTAAAAGTTCAAAACGAGTGGGTCGTTTTTAAAAACGATAGATTTTTTTTGAAAACGAAACAAAAAACGATCGTTTAACGATCGTTTATCGATTGTTTACAAAAACGATTAACAACCCTAGATACATGTACACAATGAGAATGGAAGGGTAAGAAGGATAAGAATACATACCTTGATACATGTACACAATGAGAATGGAAGGGTAAGAAGGATAAGAATACAGGACAGGAACGTGAGCAGTAGAGCACAGACATCTATACTCTCAGTCTCAGCTAAATAAAGATAGATAGATAGATAGATAGATAGATAGATAGATAGATAGAAGAAAAGATAGATAAAAAGATAGAAGTATAGATAGGTTGATAAATAGATAGAAGTATAGATAGGTTGATAAATAGATAGAAGCATAGATAGGTTGATAAATAGATAGAAGAATAGATAGATAAAAAGATAGAAGTATAGATAGGTTGATAAATAGATAGAATAGATAGAAGAATAGATAGATAAAAAGATAGAAGTATAGATAGGTTGATAAATAGATAGAAGTATAGATAGATAGATAAATAAATAGAAGTATAGATAGGTTGATAAATAGATAGAAGTAATAAGTAAAGTATATAAGTAAAGTATATAAGTAAAGTATATAAGTAAAGTATATAAGTAAAGATTTAACGAAAATAATGGTGGGAAAGAAATTAATTATTCGCCACAAACTCTGATTTTCTAATCTAAATTCAACCTAATGTCTGACAGCGTCAACCTTATTGCACAGGTTAGTCCTATTGATTGCCTGCTTTATTTACCCAATGTCCGGGCGATACAGTACAAACTGGAACCGGAAAGGTTGACCCGGCTCGAAAATTCAAATGTACTACGGCTGCCCGTGTTGCGCAATTTATTTTAATTCAATCCAGTTCATAAACATTTTTTCAAGATTTACAAATATTTTTAACAAATAAAAACATTTCAAATTTGTTTATTCCATTTTATACTTATTTTTATTCTAAAATTTTACGGGCTATGTCAATTCCTTATTTTATTCTAACTGTTATCAATTTAACTGCATTTTCAATATTTATCTTTCTTTCTTTTTTAAAAGATAATTACAAAATTGTACAAAACTATTTTGACAGATATACAGTATTGCAATTTTTCACACTTTGAGATTCTAGTGGCCCTGGGAGCCTCCCCCCTGGGAAACCCCAAGTGGGAAACTGCACCCCAACATTTATTTTTGATTTTTTCAAAATAATTGGTATTAGAAATTGGACGTACATTCTTCTTATATATTCATTGGTTCAGAATTCTGCTAATCTCTGCCTCCTTTTTCATTCTGTCTGATATTTCTGGTTTGTTGCAAGGAAGTTAAGCACATTCTGTCTGATATTTCTTGTTTGTGGCAAGGAAGTTAAGCACATTCTGTCTGATATCTCTGGTTTGTTGCAAGAAAGTTAAGCACATTCTGTCTGATATTTCTGGTTTGTTGCAAGGAAGTTAAGCACATTCTGTCTGATATTTCTGGTTTGTTGCTAGGAAGTTAAGCACATTCTGTCTGATATTTCTGGCTTGTTGCAAGGAAGTTAAGCACATTTTATGTTTGTAAAATCAATTTCTCTGACATTGAACCCATGAACAATCATGAAATAAAATCTCTTGCAAGTTTTCTAGAATTTGATATTTGCTTTCTCAGAAGGTTTTCGATTATTGAATGATGACTAAACTAAATATAGATCAATACACAAATAGATCTATACACAAATAGATATATACACAAATAACGTGTATGTTTCCTAGCTCTGTTCCAGGGTGAGGAAAGAAAAATGAACACTGCACCAATCATGGAATTTTGTAAATTAGTAGGACCCACAACGTCAGTTTTGTCTAGGAGTAGATTATCAACAGTTGGACTCTTGAAACTTTTTTCTCTAATCCATCAAACTTCTTCTTAAACCACCTTGCTTTATATAGACCTAACCATACCCTCTGACTCAGAGCTCTTTCCTCCTCAAGTTCCTAGAGTTTGTCCTGCTTTGAGGAAAGCTAGAGTTGAAGAAAATAAACAAGGAATACCTGCATTCATCAGTCAACGATTTATTACCCTTTATGAAAGATAGTTCAGTGATAAAACGAACGAAAAAAAAGGATGATGAACAATAATTTTGAAACCAAACGAAATCAATTCTTTATTGAACGATTGAAGAAAAGAACAAAATGGGTTGTTACTTGTTTACAAGCGATGAATAACCAAAATTTAAAAAGCCAAAAGCGCCCGTCTCTACTTTTAACCAAAACATCGATAACGTTAAAAATTGATTACGATTTAAACCTTCCTCCCATTTTATTTTTTGCAACACTCCCATTAGGAATGTTGTTTAAATGTCCAGACAATTTGTTTTTTGTCTTTTCCCATTCTTTCTTCAGTTGATTTGTTGGAGAAATCCAATTTATTTAGTCATTATTCATTCATCCATTCATTCATCCATTCATCCATCAATCATCTCATCAACTCATCAACTCATCAACTCAACAACTCATCAACTCATCAACTCATCAACTCATCAACTCATCAACTCATCAACTCATCAACTCATCAACTCATCAACTCATCAACTCATCAACTCATCAACTTATCAATTCATTAACTCATTCATCTATTATGCCATCCATTCTTCCATCCATTTTCTGGCAAGTAATGCAAGCCTAGAACAATAGAAGAGAATTTATGCCTTTTTTTTGGCCTGTGGGTCACAAACCGAGATAATAGATAAATACAATCTAGATTACATATATATATATATGTATATATATAAAGTTGTAATCTCTGTTTGTTTGTATGTATGTCCGATCATAATTCATAATTTTGATTAGGGAACACGGGAGAACCTCGGGAAAGCTTGAGTTAATTTAAATCGTAATTTAAGACCAAGCGCGGGTAAACGGCGGGATAAACTATGTAACCTGGGCAACGCTTGGTACTTCAGCTAGTAGATATATAAAGTAATAGATAGATAGATAGATAGATAGATAATGTAAATATCAAGGTATAACATTAATATTTATGTATGGATGAAATATTGAAATATCAAACACCTTTACTAAGTCTAAACAAACACAGTGGGCAAATTAAAAATGAATTCTTTAAATTTCTTTTTTCTCAAGTTTATAAATCTATACTTGAAATTACACTGGAGCTGAGTTCGATTTAAAAAGATTTAAAATAAACAAATAGCTTTTGATGGACAAAACAGAAATTTTGACTTAAATCTATAGTAAACAAGAAATAGAATTAGAATAAAATGTATTAATAAATGTTATGAATAGAGAATAAATGTTATGAATAGAGAATAAATGATGAATAGAGAATAAATGGATGACTAGAGAATGAAAGGATGAATGAAGAATGAATGGATGAATGAAGAATGAATGGATGAATGAAGAATGAATGGATGAATGAAGAATGAAAGGATGAATGAAGAATGAATGGATGAATGAAGAATGAATGGATGAATGAAGAATGAATGGATAAATGAAGAACGAAAGGATGAATAGAGAATGAATAGAGAGTGAAAGAAGAATGAATGAATTAATAAAAAGAGAATTGATACAGATGAATTGCAAGTGAACAGAAAATGAATAATTGAATATATAATGAATGAAGAGTGAATGAAGGAATAGAGAATGAATGAATGAAGAGTGAATGAAGACTAAATAAAGAGTTAATGAAGAATGAATGGATGAAAAGAGAATGAATGGAGAATAAATGAATAGAGAATGAAAAAATAGATAAATGACTGAAAGGATGAATTGAATGAAGGAATAATGTTTAAAAATGATGAATAAATGAATTTACCCACCTAACCAAACCTCACTGGGACGTCTTGGTTCAGGTCCTTCCTTCACAGATTTCAGCGGAAAATTTGAAACTTCCTACTCACACACACACAGAGACATTGTTTAGTTACATTTACTGCCACTAAATGCCACTCACAAATCAACATCAAAACAAGATGTTCAGAAGATTAAGAAAGGAAATTACTTATTATGTTGAAAATTCAATTCAAACAGAAAAATTCACGAAAATTTAAGAACGATGTAAAAGCTCTATTGTTAATTTTAATATAAGATTATTAAAGAAATGTTATTTTTATAAATATGATTTTCAGAATTTTATCGAAAATTGAAGAGCATTACATTTTATTTTAAATAAATGATACACATTAGATATATTTAATTTGATACAATCTTAATTTATTCTTTTTGAATAAATTAAAATCTGTTCGAATTTAAATAATTTCCAATTTCAAAACTGAAAATAAAATGGCTTCTGCTATTCCTTCGTTTGATTGACACTGATCACACTCCACCTTCTATCTCTCTGCTATATTGTACATATTACCCAGTAAACCAGATCACATTGACTAAACGTCGACTTTGCAACCTTGACGTAGATATATCATCGTAAATTGTCATATTCAACCTCTAATGTCATTATATCATGTACATTACAGTATAGTGTACAAAAAGGTGTACGGTACACTGAAGTTTTACTGGACTGACTCTTGCAGCAAGTTGTACTGACATACAGCATATAAGTTGAGTATACAGACTTTATAGGTAAGGAAAAATAGCTAAAATCATAATTTAAGACCAAGTGCTAAATGGCAGGAGTAACTATGAAGAACCTAGGCAGGGCTGGTTCCCATGCTAGTGTAACAATATGTACATATGTCCCTGTACATATATGTACATATATGTACATATATCCCTTGGCAGGGCTGGTTCCCAAGCTAATATAACAATATGTACATATACCCCTTGGCAGGGCTGGTTCCCAAGCTAGTATAACAATATGTACATATATCCCTCTACATATATGTACATATATCCCTTGGCAGGGCTGGTTCCCAAGCTAGTGTAACAATATGTACATATATCCCTGTTTATGTGTTTGTGCGAGAGCATTATGTCCTGGAGATTTAGCAGATCTTGGTCCGAACCCTCCTCCTCGAACAGGGCCAGAGGGAGCTATACTCTCACCTGAAAGGGATTGTTCACACATTTTGAAATTAGGAACATTTTAGATAAAATTGCTAATGTTTTTTAATTTGAAATATTTTTCATGATTTTTAAAAAATGTTCAAAATTTTGGAAGGAAACCTGTAGTTTCATCTTACAATCAAAATGTTCTGGATTTCATTATAACGTTATAACAACATTGTTGCAACATTTCTTGACTTTACTGCCTGTTGTTAAGACGTTGCAGCAATGTTGTTGAGATGTTGCAGCAACTTTGTTGAGATGTTGCAGTAACTTTGTTGAGATGTTGCAGTAACTTTGTTGAGATGTTGCATCAACGTCGTTTATACATTGCAGCAATGTTGTTGATATGTTGCAGCAATGTTGTTTGATATGTTGCATTAACGTTGTTTAGAAGTTGCAGCGATGTTGTTGATATGCTGCAGCAACTTTGCTATAAGATGTTGCATATGCGTTATACATTGTTTAGACGTTGCAGCCACATTGTTTAGACGTTAAAGCAATGTTGTTCAGATGTTGTAGCAACATGTTGCTACGTCACAAGAAATTCATATTATCATTATGATATGTTCTTTGTTTACCTATAGCAGGAGGACGGTGCATATTTTCCCACTGCTTAAGAACACTCTCCCCCTCCTCGGAAAATAGAACCTAGCGGGGGTTCAATATGGGGAACTTTGTTTTAGGAACATTTAGTTTCAATGGAACCTGCATTTTCTAGCTGAAAGTTTATCATTTTAAATTGTGGTTTCTCATTTAAAAGCAAGTTACTGAGTTCTGGTTCGAGATTCAACCTGGGAGAAAGGAATAGAAGAGAGATATAACTGACACGGTTTGCCCTACCATATGATTATACATGCTTTGCAGACTGGTACTCCATTTGTGAATGAAATATTCAGAAAAGGTTATTGCATATGCGGTAATTGAACATCAGACAAATATTTCTTATTCAAATGGAGTACCCGTCTGCAAAGCATGTATAATCATATGGTAGGGCGGGCCGCGTCAGTTGTATCTCCCTTCTATTCCGTACTCCCTGGATTTAGCACTTTTCAAGATAAACAATTAAGTACTTTATCCTGTTTTCAAGTAAAGGTTTAAAGAAGAGGACAATTGTGTTTTGGACAAACTATAAATGTAATGTCTTCTAATTTGCTTGCAAGTTTTTAAATAGTCCAATTCAGTTTTGATCTGGACTTGAACTAGGAAAAAGCTGTGATGATCTCTGGATCAGAGTCCTATAACCAGTTATCTTGTACTTGGACTGCAAGTTTCTAAAAAGTCCAGTTCAGTTTTGATCTGGACTTGAACTAGAGAAAAAGCTGTGATGAGCTCTGGATCAGAGTCCTATTACCAGTTATCTTGTACTTGGCCTGCAAGTTTCTAAAAAGTCCAGTTCAGTTTTGATCTGGACTTGAACTAGGAAAAAGCTGTGATGATCTCTGGATCAGAGTCCTATAACCAGTTATCTTGTACTTGGACTGCAAGTTTCTAAAAAGTCCAATTCAGTTTTGATCTGGACTTGATCTAGGGAAAAGCTGGGATGATCTCTGGATCAGGGTCCTCAAACCAGTTAAAAACTGTTTTGAGGACCAGCCTATACTAACTTTTGTTGCAGAAATCATGCTGGGTCAGCTACATACTGGGTACACTAGACGGGTTGGTAGGAGTAAACACTAGACGGGTATCCTTGTGCTTGTGATTGGTCTTATGTGAAGAAGTCAAGAATATTAAAGATGATGTATGGAAGGAAGGAAGGAATAAGAATAATATCCGTAAAATGCTTACAACATATACATCCAAAATTTTACAAGATATTCAAGATATGGCATAAACTATGTGCATTTATACAACTAGGGATGGGTATCTGTTTTATGAACAAACAGACTTTTTGTAAAAAATGGTGTTGCTCAGAATGAAAAACGAACAATGGACGAAGGACTTGAATTTTTCAGCTAAATGAAAAAACAATCCTTTTTTGGCTCAGTTTCATTTGCCATAATATCTTTGCCATAATTACACTTGCCATAATATCTTTGCCATAAGTAACATTTGCCATAAGTTACGCTTGCCATTAGTCACACTTGCCATAAGTTACACTTGCCATAAGTTACACTTGCCATAATGGTTACACTTGCCATAATTAACTACCTGAAGGAAAATATGAAAATTAGATTTACCAGAAATAGAAGAACCAACTTCAACATGAAATATTTACAAAAAAAAAGATTTAAAATAAATCTAAAGAAAAGACACATTAAATATATGAAAAGTGTGCAGGAGGACAATGTAAAAAAAAACTGTTTAAAAAGTGTCAAAAATCGGGTATAATTTTAACAATTTGTATAAAAACCGGAATATAGTGTGTAAATTGAAAAATTGGTACAAAGGTTGAAAGTTGAAACTTGTGTTTGAAATTTTATCATTTTTGAAAATTCAAAACTCAAGAAAAGAGTTTAAAAAATATTATGAGAAACATAAAAAGCAATTTTAAAAATGAAATCTTTAAATAAAAATTTGACGAAAAAGCGCAATTCTTACTTTTTTTCATGTGATTTTTCAAATTGATAAACTGTAGGGAGAGGGGGGCCGCTTCTTCCCACTTATTACCGGGGGGGGGGGGGGCACTGCCCCCCCCAGTTTCCCCCCGGGCTTGATTCAAATTAGGGGAAATGATTTGGGGGTTAATGAATATAATGATAATCCTGTTTTCTTAACTATATCCTTAGGGTGTGGACAAGCACTTAAAGAGACTGTTCTATGTTTTTATTCACGTTCCCTGCTAATAAAAACTTTAGCATAGATTGTGTACTTTGTTGGTAACATTCATTTCCACATTTTAGGCAAGATTTTGTAACTGTTCCCTATATAGTAAAGGAATCGAGTCTTTGCCACAAACTCAAAATTTTTAATCCCTATATCTTAGCCAACTGAGGGTGTGAACCTTTGATATTTCAAACTTTAATTAATTTTTCTAACAGTACATAGTTTGAAATATCTACGGTCTACGACATTGGGTTAAAAAGATATAGAGATGGGCGTCTTCTTCCTTTTCTAAAATATATGTTTCGTTCTGTTCTGTTCGTTCCCATGAAAAAACGATTGTTCCCTAGAAACGACGTTCAGCCCTTGAGCTGGGCGTGTTCTTACTTTTTTAAATCGTTCGTTCCGTTCTGTTCGTTCCCGTGAAAAAATGAGCGCTCCCCAGAAACGACGCCTAGGCCCTCAAGCTGGGCGTCTTCTTACTTTTTTTAAATGGTACGTTCCTTTCTGTTTGTTTCCGTGAAAAATAAGCGTTCCCAGGAACGAGGCCTAGCCCTTGAGCTGGGCGTCTTCTTACTTTTTTATTGTTCGTTCAGTTTCGTTACGTTCGTTCCCATGGAAGAGTGATTGTTCCCCAGGAATTACGCCCACCCATAGATACTGAGGAGGAGATGAGAAGGTTTACAATGATTAACAAATTCCTTATATAAAATATTTCAAACAGAAATACAGTGCGTTTTCTGTAGTTAAGATTGATTCGGAACGACTGGCATTTTGTGACATGCCTATACATTTTAAACAAAAATCCACATGGCTCAACCCCACATTCTACATATTAGAATAACATAAAAACAGACGATGCAGCGCTTTGACTTATAAAAGGGACTGTAAGCATTATTTCAAATAACCCTCTTTGTAAAGATGACGATGCCCGTTTTACAACTTTATCTGCTCAATAATGTGGAAGATATTGTCTTTTCTCTAGGTTAAAATGTATTTGGAAACTACAAATAAAAAAGCTAAATTTTAAACGTTTGATATCTAACTCTATAATGATCATCCAAAGGTTTTTATGGGTACTGTTGTGAATCGGGAATTATCAGTCCCTTTGAGGATTACCGGATATCATACATTTTTAAAGGTTGTCAACCACGAATATTGAGTTCAGCTGTTTAGCCAGATACCCAACGCAAATATTCTTAGCTTAGTTCAGTTTAACACAGTCAGTAAACATTTACAAACTGTTGGGGTAAGACGGCTTGCAGTTTAACGTCATGAACGTACATAAATAAAAATAGAAAGGTTCCTTAATTGTTACTTTAGTATTTATAAAATTTTAAATTCGAATTAATTTTAGAATAAAACACTATTTAGACAGATCCGCCATATTGTTCCTTAGGACCGGAAGCACTCCCACCACGTGGTTTCTCCATATATCAGCTGTTTCAGCTGTTCTATAAGTTCAGCCATTTTGTGATTAGTAAATCAATAATTAAAAACCAATGTACAAATTTCAGAGGAAAATAAGGTAATTACTGAAAGTAAAATTGAATTGATAAATTGGTTAAAATGTTTCTCATATTTCTCTTATTATCTTCTGAATGACAATTTTAGTAAATGAAAGCAAAAATAAGTAAAATAATTGACATACGGAAAAAAAAGATTGAATAATAAATTTATTCATAAAAAATATGTCTAAAAATAACCTGGCTAAAGTTCTAACTATTTTGTTTGATCTAGGTTTGGAGTATCTAATCCCGGTCTTAAATGTTCTTAAGAGGGTTCTTCAAATCTATTTCCTCCAAGTTAACATATTTATCTGAAATGATATAAAGGTAAAAATAAGTTTGGTAAAACTAAAATCTGAGTATAGATAGATCTACTGATGGGTCCGTTTTTATGCATTTTATGAGGTTCCACCATAATCTAAATGTAAATTTCCTATTTCAAAATTGTTTGCTTATAGACAATTTTACTTTTGTTACATTATGTTAAATTTTTACTCAAAAATTTGTATGATGTAATAATAGCAAACTTTTCGAGAATACAACTTTGCAATGTGTTAAATAACTCAGATCTTTGTGGACCACTTTAAACTCCAAAAAACCTTAAATCTCTTTAAACAAACCTCAAAGGTAAAAACGATGCGCTTCAGTACATAAACCCCCGCCCCTACCTTACATATATATNNNTTAGTATTTAAACTAGAGCTTGCATTAGTTAACGCTGAAGCTTCATCATTATTTCAACATTATAGTTGTAAACAAACTTTGCAAAATTTGGTTTTTGGGGATGAATAGGGTAGGATGGACAGTCAAATGGTGATTTTAAAAAGTCAGAAATGCTTAATAACCTTTTTATTAATCAAGCTACAGGGCTAAAATTTATATATTTGAAAAGCCCCGAAAAAATGGATGTATTAACATTTGTCACATGTTAATGTTTGTCAAAAATAAAAATAATTATTTTTGTAAATTTTTCCGACATACTTTTTGAACTTTTTTTGAAATCCTCCCTTGCACCCTAACCATTAAAATTAGAGGTGTATTTTTTAATAAGCAGGCCTTGAAAATTTGGACTAGGGACATGTATCTGCCCTCCCTATATCAACTCTAAGGGCAAAATCATAGGGGTGGTTGGGAACACCCCCTCCAGCCTATAATTAGACAAAAATAGCCCATGCCGGGATAGGGTTAATTTCTTTTTGGCCATCTCGGTTGGACATATATCTTTCTTAACTGAAGTCATTTATTACTTTTGACCTTTTTTAAAGTTTTCGACTAAGTAAATTTTTTAAATTTTTTTGGGAATTCTGGTCTATAGAGAATTAGATCTAAAAGTATTCTGATCTATAGAGAATTAGATCTAATAAAAGTATTCTGATCCATAGAGCATTAGATCTGAAAGTATTCTGATCTATAGAGAATTAGATCTAAAAGTATTCTGATCTATAAAGGATTAGATCTAAAAGTATTCGGATCTATAGAGAATTAGATCTAAAGTACTATACAGAATTTGATCTAAAAGTATTCTGATCTATAGAAAATTAGATCTCATAAATGTATTCTGATCTATAGAGAATATGATCTAAAAGTATTCTGATCTATAGAAAATTAGATTTAATAAAAGTATTCTGATTTCTGATCTATAGAGAAGAATTAGATCTAATAAAAGTATTCTGATATATAGAGAATTAGATCTGAAAGTATTCTGATCTATAGAGAATTAGATCTCAAAGTATTCTGATATATAGAGAATTTGATCTAAAAGTATTTTGATCTAAAGAGAATTAGATCTGAAAGTATTCTGATCTATAGAGAATTAGATTTAATAAAAGTATTCTGATCTATAGAGAATTAGATCTGAAAGTATGAAGTATAATCTACCATGATGTGCAATTCTAATTCATTATCTGTATTAATAATATTATTATCTTAACTATTTGTATGTTGACCCAGCCGGGCTAGCCCGGTCAGTTCATTTTTACCTGTTTATAAATAAAGTAGTTGAATATCATTTGTTGATTAGAACGGACGTATACAGAGCATCTATCTATCTATTTATATGACAACCCTTGATCAACCCTAAAGAGAACTAACTAAAGAGAACTCATCTCTCTGGATTGAGATGCGTGCACGGAGAAGTGGAGATGTCCGGAGAATAGATCCTCAACGGGAAGTCGGGGAGCAGAGGACGATTACAGGAAAATCCTCGAATCACTAGAGAGCGCTATCAGAGAGAGAACCTTAATGGAGTCCCAACAATCGGAGAATAAGTTAAAAGGTTGCAGATATGATTGCTGGAAACATACTATAAACACTTTTAACTTTTTGTGAATGCTGGTACGGAGTAATTTAAAAACAGCAATTTTTAGAAAAAACATATATATATATGACTATCCAACCCCCCTCTGTTTATTTTCTACATATGCTTAAAAACGGCCTGCACACGTACTGAGCGTTCAAACTTCTTTACTTGTTCAAGTTCATTATTGAACACATACTATCCATACGTACAGGTGTACATCAAAACCAAACCGATTTTTTTTGCAAGAAAATTCGTGCAGTTATTGCACAAAGGCTTTTTTACGTATCGAGGAAAAACTGAATTCTGAAGAAAATCTGGGTTTTTGCGTTTTTCGTTATTTTAACTATTTCGTTTTTTCGACCTTTTTCGTTATCTCGAGCTATTTTGTTATTTTTCGAGAAATAATTCCAGGAATTGAATTAATCCTAAATTAAACCAATCGGCAATCAGTGACACCCACTATACTCCGGCCCGCTCACACAACTGCACTCCCTGCACCTCTGGCCCCACTTTTTAGGTCACATATTTATCATAAAAAAATTACAAAGAAAGAAACCAAAATGTTAACAGTGTCTAATATGAGTATGATAATGTAATCATATGTTTAAATTAAACAGCTATATGGAAGTTGTTTTTTAACTGAAACTCATTCAGAACATAATTAATGTCCAAATATTTAAATATTTCATATTTGTGCACATGTAATGCATTAAATATTATTTATTTTCATTATTCAATATTCAAGCTCAATATTGTACAAAAATTTCAATTTTTCGTAATCGTGGGTATTGCGCGATTTGGTGCAACAACTATATGACATAATCGCTAAAACGCGAAGCTGTTGAGCTTGAGAATCTACCGTTCCGTGGAAACCCTAAACGGAAGACTTAAACTTTTTTGTTAAGTAGCGCGCTCGGTCAAACGGCTGGTTTCACACTAAACTAAGTAAAATTAGCCTATGAAACGCAGCGCAGATACTGTAAAAACTTGGTCGCGCCATCAAAGTTGAAACCGGGCGACATAGGGGAGGGGGACGGCGATACTTGCCGGGTGTCACCTAGGCCAGTTTAAGGGGTGGGTCTTGTCCGCATTCAGATTGACCCTATAAGTATACTGTGGACTAGGTTTCAAAATAAGGCGATGCGGCCACATGTCCAACAGTGGCGTACGAGGGGGGGCCGCCCCCGCCCCCTCTACGCGTGCCCCCCCCTGATCGAGGCTGAGGGGGGGGCACCCATGGGGGAGGCTCTTTTAATATTACATCTGCTTGCATTTCCCTTCCTCAGGCCAGGCACAGTGGCGTACCATAGGGGGGGGGCAGTTAGTCCTCTTGCCCCCCCTGGGAGTTCCAGGCGGAGCACTGCCCCCCGGAAAATACTAAATTAAAAGGAAACTACGTTTAAAAAGTAACACCTGACAATGACAGAGACTAAGGATTTGTCTAAATTCACTGTTAATACAAGGAGAGAAAAGTTTTAGCCTTCTAAAGAGAATACTTCATTACACAAGATGTACTATGACGGAGAGCAGACTTAACGATCTTGCACTTATAGCTTTACACCCTATAAGGCTATCTGAGCTCTCTACTAAAAAAACATTGAAATGTTTGTGCAAGCAAATCCCAGAAAATTGTAGCTTAAAAGAGTTGGAGAATTTGTAAATTGAGTAAATTCTCAAAAAATTTCAGAAGACATTTCGTTTATTAGTAAAAATATAATTTTTAATGATGCTGTGATTATTGATTTAGTTAGCTGTGATGGAGTTAAGTGATAAATTTGTAAAGTTTAAAAGTTAGTTTTTCAAGCAAAGGAATAATTTTTAGACTCCATGAAGTTAGTATAACCACCCAAAAATGTAGTCTTTTTGGTGTATTTTTATGGTGAACAAAACAAGTCCAGGTGGGGGGGGGGGGGCAAAAAAATTTAAAAAAGGTATCAATATTTTTTCAAAAAAGGGGTTTTTAAGGGGGGGGGGCACAATGTTGCCCCGGGGGGAACCCAAATTTTTTTTTTGCAATTGTGCTCCCCCTAAACAAAAGCCCTCGTACGCCCCTGTTGTCCAACCTACAGCTGTAAAACCACGTGCTAGTAGGTCGGAAGTGTATCATAGCGGATGTAGCGTATGTCAGAAGTGGAGTATAGCGGATATGCGTAGATCGAAAGATACACCATCGCATTGTTTTCAATTTGATTAGTTGATTGTAAATGTCGAAACAAGATTAATAATATAACGCGGTAATTTTAGGATTATGCGCAGATATACAAACCAACCACATGTGTTTACAGTCCGACGAATTTTGTGCTAAAACCGGCCGGATATTAAAGAACAAGTTTTTTCATCTCACATTGATAATATTGACGACTCTTGATTAAATTTTGATTCCTGCCGAAGTTTTTCACTTATGATTTGGCAGTTAAATCATTTTTATCATTAATTTTCTTAGACGAGAATGTAAATTATAATTGACCTTATTCAGATAAATATGGCCGGGAAAGATGATAGTTCTGCGGCCAAAAAGCCGAAAACAGATTCCTCTGATATCAAGTCCATGACAAGTAAACAATATCTAGATCAGGTACTTAGCAATATTAACAAGGTGAAATTAGGTGGAAAAAATAATCAAAACAGCCAAAAGCTATTTTCCACCTAATTGCTTTATCTTGTACTGTTAATATAATCACCAATTTGTAATTGTAAACTCGTTCTGTACACAGATTCATGTACTTCAGCAATGAACTTTATCTATCTATCTATCTATCTATCTATCTAACAAGTTTAGAATGAGTTAAATTCCTACAGAACGCCTTTTAAACCCGTCAGCCGCCCCCCCTAACATAGCGCTAAATTATTACAAATGGTGAAAAGGGTAAATGCCATGTTGCCCTAGCCTGTGTTACCCGCGGCGCTCGGCCCCCTAGCCTGTCCTAGCTTTAATAACACACTCTAGGAAATTACACGATTAACATAAATTTAAACAATATTAGGTTGAAATCTTAAAATTTGTTCAGTACACAAAGTTCAACAGACTTTTGTTATGGAACAATCTATCTTGTTTACGTCAGTTTAGAAGAACCGTAGAAGTTGTTTATAAATACCCTCCATTCGAATACCTGATTCATAAAACCTGTACCTTGGTCTGAAAAAATGTTTTCTGTCCGAATATCGACAACTATAATATGTGGTTTTCAAGTGATATACATGCAACTGGACAAAGAATTTAACTGATCAATTTAATTACTTTAAGAAAGAAAATCGATGATATCTTCAGTCTTTCACTGAAGAAGATAAACAATGGTGAGAATCGGGCATACAATTCTTTGATTGAAGGGACGCATAAAATAACGCTAAGAGTCCCTTTAATTTGTTAAGTTTTGTAAATATTTTTAGATGGTGGTTCCACAGTTGCTTAAAGCACTCACAGCGGTGAGCACAGAACGACCCCAGGTACATAGTCCCTCTCCCCCCCCCCTCCTATAGTTGCGCCACTACACACGTTCATAGAGTATCTTATCACATCATATCATATTCTTATCGTATTGTATCAAAATCACTATATCCTATTCTTATTTCATCGTATCATATTCTCATTGAATCATATTATTATTACACCATATCATATTCTTATTGTATCTTAACATTATCACATCTTATCATATTCTTATCGTATTGTATCATAATCACATCACATCATATCATATTCTTATTGCATCGTATCATATTTTCATTGTATCATATTATTATCACACCATATCATATTCTCATAGTATCATATTATTATCACACCATATCATATTCTTATTGTATCCTAACATTATCACATCTGATCATATTCTTATTGTATCATATCTTAATCATATCTTATCATATTCTTATTGTATCGTATCTTAATCATATTTTATCATATTAATATTTAATCGTATCTTAATCATATCATATCATATTCTTATCTTATCTTGCATATAAATTGTGATTGTTTGGGGCAGGGGGAAAGAAATATATATAAGACTTTACTATGTCGCCAATTTTATGGAATATGACAATATATGTTAAATATTTCACATACTTATTTTATTAAATCTGACACGAATAGTAACTAAGATGCAATTAGTGGCAGATTTCATGGAATAAGTTACAATTGTTGTAATTTTCACCCAAATTAATCCAATATGAACCCCTGCTTTTATTTTTAATTTTCATGAGGAGTTTATATTTTCTAAATTAATTCTACCCCCCGGGCCCCATTTTTGGCAAATATTTTTTTTAGAGTTTTTATGCTTAATTGGGGTAATAACTGATTTTTGGGTAACTAGTAACCTAAAGAATGAAAACACACTTACTTATTTCTCATCCCCNATGGGGGGGGTTCTGATAAATATACACCCCTGATTTTCATTAAATTTTGTTCCAGGATCCTATTCAGTTCTTGGCCGACTACCTCCTTAAACATAAAGATGACGTATCAGAAACAGAATCTGTTTCATCTTCATAGATTAATCCAGATCAGAATCTGTATCATCTACATAGAATAATCTAGATCAGAAATTGTATCATCTACGTAGAATAATCCAGATCAGAAACTGTATCATCTACATAGAATATTCCAAATCAGAAACTGTACCATCTACGTAGAATAATCCAGACAATCATCTGTATCATCTACGTAGAATAAACCAGACAAGCATCTGTATCATCTACGTAGAATAAACCAGACAAGCATCTGTATCATCTACGTAGAATAAACCAGACAAGAATCTGTATCATCTACGTAGAATAATCCAGACAACAAACTGTATCATCTAAGTAGAATAATCCAGACAAGAAACTGTATCATCTACGGAGAATAAACCAGACAAGCATCTGTATCGTCAAACAAAAGAGAAAAAATCCTTGTTCTTCTTCTTTAAAATTGTTTACAAATTAACTAGTTCTATGGCTGCCCGAATACATCACTTTAAAGGGAATAATGACGGAATTTCAAGTGACTCCATATTTATAGAGTACGATTCACGCAGGTATTGTGTCTGATAAAGAATGCATAAGATAAATTCTCTTTTTTTTCTCGAAAAAGTGAGAAAAAAATATGGAAATGTACACAATATCTTCCAAGGTTCAATTTGGAATATCCAGTCTATAAATGGAGTCACTTTCTACTCTCTATGCTTAATTCAAATTGCATTGACCCCGATCCCGTAGTTCAAATTATACTCGTTTTTTAAATGTAGAGAGATAGGTAGTTAAATATGTTTTGTCTTTCAGTCTTGTAATTGAATTTTCTTACATTGTTGAAATGTATTCACTAATTCTACACCTATCTTTGTCTTGATTTAAGGGGACTGTAAGCGTAAGCGTGACCTTCCATTTATTAAGAGGCATGTACAATTCTCAGCGGTACCCTTTAAACCTTTGTCCGGACAAAAATTTGGTAGATGCAGGAAGACTCGAGGTTACAGTGTACACTGCTCTCTCCGTACACTGTACTCTAGTGTACACTCGCGCGGTTTCTTGGCACTACATAAATAAGAATATCTGATATCCTTGATCAAACAAAGGTTTAAAGGGTATCGTTGTAAATAGGACATTCCACTCAAAAAATTGAAGGTCACTTGAAAGTCACTTGAAATTACGCGTACAGTCCCTTTATGTTCAAGTGAAAAACTAATTCTCGTCATTCTGTGTCGATTTTTAAACCTAACTGAAAAAAATCACATTTTCTTGACTTTGTAGTGTTTGAAAATTCCGCGTGATTGACAACATTACGCTTAATTTCTTATATTTATTTATTTATTTATTTTCTCAACCTTTTTAGAAAGGAAAAATAGCAGTACAAAGCTTAGTTTTATGATCTATAAAAGTTGTCTAGCTTGTAGCACGGTTATTAATTTAAAACTAGCCGGGCCCCCTAAAAATGTAATTTCAGAAATAAAAATAAAAATGGGAAAGAAAGTGAAAGCCGCGTCTGCCCGAAAACCGGTTCCTGCAAAGATTGAAAAAATTTCTAAAAGCAAGAAACCGATGTCCGTTGTCACAAAGGAAACTATAGATAAGGTAGGAGTATATATTTTCTTGAACTATCTTCCCTAATCATGTCGGGTAATTTTGTGCAGAACTGCACATTTTATTAAGTGTTTTATTACTGGCTTTGGTTTAGAAAGTATCAATAAAGTTACCTTCTAATGTTCAACCCCCCCCCCCCCCCCCAAGAGTATAAATAACGGTGTCAGGTATGTTCCCAAAGGCATTTTCCTAAGCGGCAACTTTCCAAAGGTTTGGTTAAGCCTTCTGAGGCCTGTAGGCTGGAATGAGCACGGCGGCTAGGATGGGCTAGGGGACCGAGAGGTTGGGCTAGGGGGGGGCCGAATGCTGCGGCTAGGAGAGACTTGGAAAATTGCCTGGTTGGGAAGTTGCCACAGGGGAAAACATCCTTGGGAAGCTGTCGCGTGGGAAAAGACCTTTGGGAAAGCACCTAACGTCTCTAAAATGACCCCCCCTCCACCTCTCCATAAAATACTGGAAAATATTTACCTCTCGGATAAGGTTCTGCCGAGTGTGGAGACGGACGCGGTATTGAAGGAGATTAGCGTGAAGAGCCAGGCGGCGGAGAGGAAGGAGGAAAAGGAGGAGGGGGCTCATGAGAAGGTGAAAGTCAAGAGGAAGGATTCCCTAATCAAGTAAGTTTTTTTAATGAAAAGGCAAAATTTGAGAGAAAAATAATAGCTAAAGTCTTGAGTTTTGTCTCAGAAATACTCAAAATTTCAATTTTTCTTAAAAATAGTAATCGCCTGTGTCGCAATACAATTTCTACCCCCCCCCTCAATGTTCCAGAATTGCGCCTTTGTGTCACACAATTAGTACAATCATTGAACTTAAAAGTACTCTAGTGGTATTTGCAATTAATAAAGAAATTATTCAAGTTTTTAATTTGATCTCTTACATCGAAATATGATTTCTAAAGCTAAGAGAGGCTGTAAGCGTAATTAAAAGTGACCCTCATGAAAAAATGGCAATGTCGGATTTTATCAATTATTCCTTACTGTTGTCCTGCAGTAGAAATGCGCAAATCACTTTTGTAGAGAAATCACTATTAATATAATCAGTTTTCAAAATTACAAGCATTGACATCTAGTGCTAGGTCAGACAAAGCTTTTAAGGGTACCGTTGTGAATGGTTATTGTAATCTTTGCCTGGAGGGTCACTTTAAACTGCGCTTACAGTCATTTTATCCATTTAAAAAATAGAGGTCGTCTTTACTATAATTTTTGTAATATTTTATTATACCAAGGCTACATCAGTGTACAATATTTTTTTATTAAGGAACTTTACTGAAATTACACTTATTTCACGGAAATTCCACTGTATTTCAAGGAATTTTCACTGTATTTCTTGGAAATTCCACTGTATTTCAAGGAAATTCCATTGTTCCACTAGAACGACCCTCATTTTACTTTTTATTTATTTCATTTAACACTTTTTCGGAACATTTGGTTCTTTTGATTAATCTTTAAAATCATTTTTGAAATGGGTAAATACGAGACATATTTGTAATACAATATATTCATTACAATTTTCACTCGACTAAATTTTTTCGTATTTTATTTTTGTCAATTTTGTATTTTTTTCTTAATCGTTTTCATGTACTTTGAACTTTGAAGTGTGCTGAATGCTAAGTGTTTGATACCATTGAACATTGATTTATAAGCAGTTCTTAGGATCCGGATCCTTTAGATCCGCAAAATTTTGGCAAAATTTTGGCAAAAATATGCGGATCCACGGATTCGGATTCAAGAGGCAAAATATATTTATACCAAAAACTTAAAAAAACTTTTTTACTCTCAAACCAAAGAGAGTTGAGGCATAAAATTAAGCGCGATAAGAAGAAAAATAATTTGACAATTCTGCTTTGTTAAAAAAATTCAGTAAATGTTTATGACCTGGATCCGGATCCATTTTTTTGTCCAGCACGGATCCGGATTAATCAAATAGAACCCAAGAATCGCTGTTTATAAGTTGTGTTATTATTAGGAGTACAGAGAAGAATGCTAAAAAGCTGAAGAAGGATTCAGTAGAAAAGGGAAGGGTATATATTTTAGAATAAAAAAGAACGTACCATATAATTTACCCCCTTTACAATACTTAAACCTTAAAGGAGCTGTAGTCTGAATTTCAAGCGACTACGTTGATTAGATTCTATCCAATTTACTACGGTATCCTTAAAAGCTTTGTCTGATCAGAGCTGAAAACTTTAGAATAGGATATCCTAAATCCCGATATGTAAATTAATCTGGAGATTAATAACAAGAGGAGAACAATCATTATTTAATCTGGATATTAAGAAAAAGAGGAGATCCAGCATTAATCTCGATATCCCCCATTCTAAAGTTTTCAGCTCTGGATTGAAAGAAATATTTTTGGTTTTCTCGTTGAAAGAATGTTCTATTGTGGTTAATTATACTCAATTCTGAAATAAAATAGATGAATAAGCTTTAAATAAAAAAATTTACCCTGAAAAGGAGAATACTGAAACTATCCCAGCTGACCCCGAGCTACAGGATAAATCCTACCTTTCCCTCGACAACCCAGCAGAGGACGACAAAAAGATCAAGGAAAACAACAATAAAAGACGCGGGATAATTCAGAACAAAATGGCGGCGAAATTTTAGCCGACATTGGAAAGGTTTTGTAGATTATGGGAGGGAAAAATGTAGAATTTAAAAAATGTTTTTGTGCAAATTTTATGAGAAACACGAATTTAAAAAGAGAAAATTTAGCAAGAAGATGTTTAACCATGTGTAGCAAATTTCAATCAAAGCCACTTATTGCTTAATTGATAAGTTTGTTTATTATTGTGTGATTTAAAAACAGGTTCCGTCTTATTCCTACAAGAAAAACAGAGGAGTAGTTTATATCAGGTAAAAGCTAGCAAATGATATTAAGATCAAAAATTCTCTACATCAAAGGGACTGTAAGCTCAATTTAAAATGACCCTTCATGAAAAGCTGTCAATGCCCGATTCACAACGTCACCATTAAAACCTTAATCTGATTAAAAATGTTGAAGAAACCGTCTTTTTTCTGACTCAAACAGTGTTTATTTCTGTGAGCTTCTCCTTTGCTTCTTATAAACAAGAAACCTATCTCACATATCAGAAAAAGTTTCAATGGTACCGTTGTAAATCGGACATTGCCATCTTAAAATGGAGGTTCACTTGAAATTACGCTTACAGTCCCTTTGAGTAGGAAATAAACATATGTTTTATGAATAACCTTAGTCTTACGGAAACTAAATCCTGGGGTTAAAAAAACGAATTAGAAGTACGAGCTATACAAGTAATGATCTGAAAGTTTCCCCATCTTGAGAAATACCATTTTGGGAAGAACATTTTTTCCCCCCAGAAGTGGGGAAAGCAAAAGATTTCTAGGGGAAAATAAATGATTTCTGGGTAAAAATTATAATAATGTCCCATTTTCATTTATTCCTCAAATCATCTCTATAAAATATACACCCCTGATTAAACAATGAACAATTCCTTTAATTTTAGTCACATCCCTCACGGGTTCTACGAGGCCCAGATGAGGGAGTTCTTCTCTCAGTTCGGGACCATTACAAACCTCAGGTATATACATTACTAGCTTGGGAACCCAGCATGGCCCAGGGGAGTCATAGTTAATCCCACCGTATACCCGATAATTGTCGTAAATTACGATTTTAGCTATTTTTTCCAGTTGGACCCACTTAATTTAGAATCTCAAAACCAAGTTAAAAACATTCCCGTGAGTCTCCCGAGCAGTGCTTAGGGTCCATTTAATTTTGATGGGGATCCGGATCCTGGATCCAGGTCCAGGTCATTTCTTTTTACTGATATTTTTTAACAAAAAATAATTTTAAAATTTTTTGTTTAATTTTTTTCGCTTATTTTTATCCTAAAACTTGATGAACCATTCAGAAATGAGAAAATTTTTATAATCTCCCTTTTTTCAAAAGTTCAGATTTGAGTTTATGAGTAAAAAAGTGTTTATTTTTGTTGCAGTTTTGGTTGATATTTTACCCCTTTGATCCGGATCCTAAGCACTGCTCCCTAGTTCCCCCATCAAAATTCGGTCAAGGAGTTTCTGAACTATGATCCTCAAAATATTATGGAACACAACGATCTAGTGCCCATTGGTCCGTACTTAAAGAGACAGTAAGCGTAATTTCAAGTGACCAGCTCAATGCAAAGATGGCAATGCCCCGATGTTACCCAACTTTGATCAAGATCGAATTTTACATGAATGTTCATAGTTTTGAAAACTGATTGTTGTCAATTGGGATTTCTCTTCAAAAGGGCATTTCTATTGCAGGAAAACATAAAAATTATCAGAAATAAACACCTTTCAGTTTAGAAAAATGACAATATCTTCCACATTATTGATTTGATTACGGTTTCTAGGGTACCATTGTGAATCATTCACTGTCACTTGAAATTACGCTTACAGTTTCATTAAGGAATAGCAAGAGGCAGTGTATGTAGACTATATAGACTACGTAGTACTTAGTTCAACTATGTCTAGCTTTTTATACAAACTGGTCTATTATAGTACTACTCAAATAGATTATCAAGTACAATAGGTGGCAACAGAGAAATGGACCAATTATACACGACGTCACAAGTTTCAAATCTAACAAGGAATTCGAAATTTTCTCACATTAGGTGACAGGTTTTCCAAGATTAAATATGAAAATAGTGTGAAAACAGAAAATAAATAACACTTAAAATTACATTTTTTTTTATTGTAAGACAAGCACTTATTACCACTAATTATTAATCAAACAAAAACTAAGTTGACACTTGTGACGTCAGAATACAGCTGTACCGAGTGTACAAATTCTACGTTACCATCTATTGTACTAGAATTTATTTGGTACTACTATACAATACAGAGTTGATATTTTCTTAAATTTTTTTTAATAGTTTTTGAGATTTTTTGCTTAATTTTTACTTTTGAGTAAAATAACGTTTTTTTGGGGAAAGTAAAATTAATTCTGATTGTATTATCGGAGAAAAGGTTGAAGAGTTAAGATTTCATCAATATATATATTTATTATCATTTACAAAAAGTAAATGGTATTTTTTTTCAATACTTAATGTTTGATCATGTAGTCTTTTTCTTTAAGTTTTGCTGCAGTGTTCACTTTTTGATAGATATATATTATAGATAATTATTATTAAAGTAGATACATAATTTTATATAGTTATACTTTTTTAACGGGATTTGCCAAGCCAACATTGGCCGTTTTTCATGGAAAACCCGGATGTTATTGTATGACATAATTTTTAAATCATACAATTGGAGGTGTTAGGTAGGGAAAAGTATTCGAAATACTTTAAGTTAAAACAATATTATTTTAATTCCGTAACATTAATTTTTAATTTTGCTTTTGTAAAACTCCAAATTATTTTAAAGTTTTCTCTAACTGTCGAATGTTCGACCAAAGTAGGAAATATATATAATTTTAATCAGTCTGTTTGACCATTAAATTTTGATGCGGATCCTGGATCCGGACTGGAAAAAAATGGATCCGGATCCAGGTCATTAGGATTTATTCAATAATTTTTAACAGAAGACGAATTTTCGACTTATTTTATTTTCTAAACACTTATCTTTATGCAACAAATCATTCAGAGATAATGACTTTTCTCATAATTACCGACTGCAATGATTTGACTCAATTAGGCAATTTTTGAGTTTCTCTTTTTATGTAATTTTCTAAAAAAAAATCTTGTTTTTTTTAGGTTGTCGCTGAAACAATGAACAATTATTTGATGTTCAACAAGATCTTGAAATGTGAACTTCTAGCAAAGGTGTGTTAAAAAAACTCAAATAATGACGAAAACTGTGTTTTTTTTTTGTAGGAAAAAAAACTGAATTTGTGAATGACCTTAAGAAATGAAGACGGATTGTTTTTAGGAGAAGTGTAAGCCGAACTTGTTCATGGGAAAGATCAATCCTAACAAGCCTCCTCAGGTTCTTAGCAGGTCAGCTATTTTTACTTTTTATCGGCCATTTTGATTTTGCAACCAAATTAATATTTAGGAGAAGTGCTAAGAAGCTGCTAAACGCTCCTAAAACTAATGCAGAGGATGCGAGCAGGATTAAGCGGCAACAGAAGAGCGTTGAGAAGCTGAAGAAGACCCTGGCAGCTGCGGGAATAGAATACAATGTCAATATTTCCTAAACCTACGTCAGCTGAAAATCCGCCGTCATTTTGTTCTAAATTTTCCCGCATTTTTTTCGTTTAACTTGTAGAATTCTTTCAGAATCAAAATGGTCGTAAGCAACAGGGTAGTTAAGCCTAAAAGTAAGCGCGCGAAGCGTGCGCTCGAGGAGAGAGAGCCAAAGGCAATTGAGAACCAGAAAACAAGCATCATGGTTAGAGGGGTCAAGTGCAGCCAGATGGTTCAAAACTGCATGAAGGTTAGAAAACAAGCAAAACATTTTCATTTCTTATTTATTTTAAAAAAGCGTTAAAATATTTTTGGTATTTTGTATCTTTTTTAAGTTTATACCAGTGAGAACTAGAGTAGAACTCTGGAATAGGAAGACGTAATTAAAGCAATAATTAAGTGCATTTAATGTTGTTGTTACACAACTAATAGTTTTACTAATAACTTTTAATCAACTTAAAATTGGCATGTTCACACCGCACAATTGCTCTTTCTTGTGTTCATTTGAAGTAATAACTGGAGTGAGAAGGTCGTCTTCACATTTCCGAGTTTTCTAGTTATTAATTGTAATATTTACAATCTTGTAATATGTACAATCTTGTAGGATCTGAACGCCCTGAAGAAGCCGAATTCTATAACTTACAACCAGAAGAACGATATCAGACCATTCGAGGCAAACACAGATTCATTTAAGAAATAATTATTTTTTATTTTTTATTTTAAATCATTTTTGAATTTTTATGTTACAATTCTTAATTTCTTTTTAAAACATATTATGATTTGATAAATTGACACGTTCAAAATTTACTCTATCCTATTTTTAAGCCCGGTAATTAACCACCACTACTCTAGGAGGATAATTAACCACCACTACTCTAGGAGGATCATTTTAGGTATTTTTACAAGTATACTAACGCAAGAGACACCCTCTTATCTTTTCTGTGAAACGTAATTTACTAGTTTCTTTATTAAAAAAAGGAAATGTTAAGTAATATCCCGTCTAAGGACCGATGGTGAAGAAAACTTCTAGGGTCGGTCTACTAATAAAGTAGTGTACACTGTACAGTACTTGTCATAAGCTATGTACTTACTTTTATTTGAAAAACATTTATTTATAAAGAACTTAGGTTGACGAATTGGGTTTTTCTTATTTATTAGTCAAACTAAGTCCTACTTTTGTAGTGTTGAAATAGGTTTTTTTAAAATTTTTTATTATCAGTTAATTAATTTTTTTAATGTAATATTTGTATTTACGTTATTGAGGCGTTTTTGAGACGCTTTTGAGACGTTTTTGTGACGTTTTTGTGACGTTTATGAGAGAAACGTTCTTAAGATCAATTTGCAACGAAATGTACTGTAGACGTAATTGACCCTTTAGCCAAGGATTTACAACGGCACCTGGAAAACCTGTGCTTGAGTATTAAAGACCAAAATATTGAAGTTAAAAAAATAATTTGAAAATTTCCTTCTTTGCCTCCAACAAATAAATCCGCAAGCCTGTTTTAGAAAGAAATCGCTTTTTTAAAAATTATCCAACTGTAGATAGATAGATAAACTAAAATATTTCCATAAGTTTTTGCGCATGCGTTAAAACATTTTAGGAACCACTAGAAGTCCAAATATATAGTTGCAGAAATATTCTTTATTTGAGGGTTTTCAGGGGTGTATATTTTCTTGAACAATTATTATTCCTCCCCCCCCCCCTTTTGTAAATCATGTTTTCCCGGAAGTTATATATTTTTTATGGGCTTATTCGCTTAATTGGGGAAATTAAATGAACTGTTGGTTAAAAAGTATTAAAATAGAAAGAATAATAAAAGTTTTCCAATTTTTTAACCCGTTTCATCCGTTGTTTATTTAATTAATCTTTATAAAAAACATTGTTTTCTTTTTAATTCCAGATATTGAAACCCCTGTTCAAAAACGATTAGTTTCTTTTTTACAAACGCTTACCGGAACCACTGTGTTTAAAAAACTCATTATTGGAATCTCTGTCTACCCGAAGGATGCGACGAAGTTTGAATTCTATGGCCGAAAGTTGGACGCCTCTCTGTTTGTGTTTGGTTCGCACAACAAGAAGAGACCAAACAACCTTGTGTTTGCGCGGCTCTACGACTACAATATTCTTGACATGATAGAACTTGGTAAAACTTGATAGATTGATTGATTGATGGATATACGTCTCTTATGTGTTTTTAATTTGCTACCTCAATGTGCGTCCTAATTGTACTAATTGATTATTGAGGACAGGAGACGTGATCCTCCAGTTATTGACCATGTTTGATTCACAACGGTATCTTTTAACGGGTTTGAAGTAGTCCCTTTAACAATATTTGTTTACAGGTTTACACGCGTACACACTACAGTCCCTTTAACAATATTTGTTTACAGGTTTACACGCGTACACTCTACAGTACCTTTAACAATATTTGTTTACAGGTTTAGACGCGTACACTCTACTGTCCCTTTAACAATATTTGTTTACAGGTTTACACGCATACACTCTACTGTCCCTTTAACAATATTTGTATACAGGTTTCCACGCGTACACTCTACTGTCCCTTTAACAATATTTGTTTACAGGTTTACACGCGTACACTCTACTGTCCCTTTAACAACATTTGTTTAAAGGTTTAGACGCGTACAGTCCTTTTAACAATATTTGTTTACAGGTTTAGACGCGTACACTCTACAGTCCCTTTAACAATATTTGTTTACAGGTTTAGACGCGTACACTTCGCTCAATGAATTCAAAGTAGGAAAGGTAAGCATAAAACGGTGTGAATATAATCCTGAAATTAGATGCTTCTTTTTTCTTTTTATTTTCTCTTCTGGTCAAAATTTAGCAAAATGTTTTTCTTACACTAAGACAAATTTGGACCCAGGCAGTTTTTCAATCTTTCAATTTTTTTTCAATTTTTTTCTAAAAATATTCAGAACTATTAACAACTAGGCTTAAGAAAATTTTTAAAAAAGTTAAAAAATTTTTGTTTAAAAATTTTTTTCTCTACGGGCATCGCCGGGCCCTCTAGCTGAATAAAATTCCCAAGTCTTCGAATTTTTGTATTCCAAGGTTTTTTTGATAGAGCTTTCCAATCGGTAATTTATGAATAATTTTGTCAACATGATAAATATATTCTGGATGAGTTGGTCCATGCGATCATGGTTAATCTTCTTAGAAAATAATAGTGAGCGATTGAATGATTATACGTTTTTTTGTTTTGTTTAGAGACTTAAAATAAACCAGGATAAGGGAAAGTTAAACATTATAAGTTTATTTGGTTGACTGATAGATTGATTGATTGGTACTTCTTCAGGTTACTGTGGGGACAAAGCCGTGTTTGCTGTTTGAAGGGGAATCCTTCGCCGACACAACAAACACAGGTCAATAACATTGAATACAAATTTAAATAAATGTGCGATTTTTAAAAATCAAAATCCGCGAAAAAGGAACCTGCCTTGCCGTTTTATAATGTTACTTATTTGCCTAGGAACAAATAAGAAACTTTTTATACCCAAGATTATGAAATTGTGAGTAAAAATGCGGGATAAAATTTCTCTTAAAATTAAATGATGAATTTTCTAGAATGACTGTTGTTCCTCTCCCCTCTTCCAAAAAATTTTTTTTGCTTAAATGTGAATAATACAACAGTTTTTGGATGAAAGTACAGAAAGAAAATTCATATTAAACCCTAATTCCTGAAGAAAAAAAGGAGTTAAAATTTATTTTTGGGGGCTGGTTTTTTTCATGCCAATAGGTATGTTGTTTTATGTTGTTTTCCAGGACGAAAGTATATATTGAGAAATTAAACTTATCCCTATTTATCATTTATACCCCCCAAATATTCAATAAAAAATTTTTATTTCTAAGAAATAGACTCATGTCAAATAAAATACTAGTTGTTACAAAACTAATATGTCGAATTTGATTTTTATGAAATGATGATAGACAGTATGGTTATTATTATTATTATTATTATTGTTATTGTTAATTGCGAATATTTTTTATATTTTTTATCAAGATTAACATAAAATTAAACTAAAATTAAATTATTGATATCTCAATGTATTATCTCATTATCTAGAGATGCAGAGATTAAAATCCATGTTCATCGACTTCTTCCGTGGTCCAGAAGTAACAAATGTTAGGTAAGTTCAACATTTGGTCAGAAATAAAAATGATCTTTTTTTTGGGTTTGTTTATATGGTTTTCGGGGGAAAATAAAATGATTTTTTTGGGTACAAGGTAATAATGCCAAGATACATTTTTTTAATAATTTATTTATGATGGCTAGAATTTACCCGTTGAATAATAACATTGATGATAATGATACTTTAGACTGCACTGGCTAGAATATATCCGTTGAATAATAATATTGATAATAATGATTTTGTCCATGATGGCTATAATATACCCGTTAAATAATAACATTGATAATAATGATACTTTAGACTGCATTGGCTAGAATATATCCGTTAAATAATAACATTGATAATAATGATACTTTAGACTGCACTGGCTAGAATATATCCGTTGAATAATAATATTGATAATAATGATTTTGTCCAAGATGGCTATAATATGCCCGTTGAATATTATCATTAATAATAATGATACTTTAGACTGCACTGGCTAGAATATATCCGTTAAATAATAACATTAATAATAATGATACTCTAGACTGCACACTGGCTAGAATATATCCGTTAAATAATAACATTAATAATAATGATACTTTAGACTGCACTGGCTAGAATATATCCGTTGAATAATAACATTGATAATAATGATATTGACCATAATGGCCATAATATCCCTGTTTAATAATACCATTAGAAATAATGACACTCTTTAGGATCTCAGGAATATATTCGGTGAATAATAACATTAATTATAATGATACTCTGGACCGTCTAGAATATATCCGTAGAATAATAGCATTAATATTGATGATACTCTTTAGGATGAAAGGAATAGTTCGTTAAATAATAACAATGATAATAATAATACTCTAGACTGGCTGGTATATATATTTGTTGAATAATAACTTTAATAATAATGATACTCTAGACTGGCTGGTATATATATTTGTTGAATAATAACATTAATAATAATAATACTCTAGACTGGCTGGAATATATATTTGTTAAATAATAACATTAATAATAATAATACTCTAGACTGGCTGGTATATATATTTGTTGAATAATAACTTTAATAATAATGATACTCTAGACTGGCTGGTATACATATTTGTTGAATAATAACATTAATAATAATGATACTCTAGACTGGCTGGAATATATATTTGTTGAATAATAAGATTAATAATAATGATACTCTAGACTGTCTGGTATATATATTTGTTGAATAATAACATTAATAATAATGATACTCTAGACTGGCTGTTATACATATTTGTTGAATAATAACATTAATAATAATGATACTCTAGACTGGCTGAAATATATATTTTTTGAATAATAACAATAATAGTAATGCTACTCTAGACTGGCTGCTATATATATTTGTTAAATAATAACATTGATAATAATAGTGATACTTTAGACTGGCTGGATTATATTTTTGTTGAATAATAACATTAATAATAATGATACTCTAGACTGGCTGAAATATGTATTTGTTGTATAATAACATTAATAATAATAATAATACTTAAGACTGGCTGGTATATATATTTGTTAAATAATAACATTAATAATAATAGTGATACTTTAGACTGGCTGAAATATATATTTGTTGAATAATAAAATTAATAATAATGATACTCTGGACTGGATGAAATATATATTTGTTGAATAATAACATTAATAATAATAATACTTTAGATTGGCTGGAAAATATATTTGTTGAATAATAACATTTATAACAATAATACTCTAGACTGGCTGGTATATATNAAGTTTATTGCTAAAATAAATGTATCTGTATACAGATAGAGTTTACAATCACAAAATTGATGATTATATTAACAGTACAAGTATAAAGCAATTAGGTGGAAAATAGCTCTTGGCTGTTTTGATTATTTTTGGAGTAGTTCAGGGGAGGAGTAGTTTTTTGATACTCTGACAAATATCTTCCAAAAAATCCGGTTTTTGCATATCATTTGCTTATAATTTGCTTATTTTTTAAGGGATTTTTACGAATTCTTTTCCGGCGCACAATGTACATTATTGATTTGATGAACATACTACAGCAAAAATCTGAAGAAAATTATCAAATCTTACTTTTCTTTGTATCAACGAAAACTTATCAACTGGTGCAAGAAGGATTTGAGCATTTTTATCATAAAAGTGCCCCATAGTTTCACCCTTAGTTATTACAGTAAAAAAATACAAGCTATAGATTATAGATACGAACTTTGTAAATTATTCTGTTATTTACAAGTTTGTTATTATATCTAGATTATTGTTAGTTGGTTAGTCGGTTATTTGATTGATTGATTGATTGATTGATTGATTGATATTTAGAGTTGAACTAGAGGAAATTGGACCAAGTCTAGATCTAACACTACGAAGAACGCATTTAGGTAATTTCATTGAGGAATGAACGTAGGAGCTAGGAATATCAATGAGTATAGAACTAAGGAGCTAGGAATATCAATGAGTATAGAACTAAGGAGCNGGGGGGGGGCAGGGAGTAGTTTTTAAGAAAATAAATTAACTTGTATATCTTCAGCCTCTGACGACCTGATGAAGACAGCCTGCAAGCAGGTCAAGAATATCAGAGGACAGAAGAAGATTAAGAACATTTCTGAGGTAAATACAGTGTTTGATTGATTGATTGATTTATTGATGCGTAGATTGTTTGGTTTGTTGTTGTTCGGTTGATTGTTTGGTTGGTAGATTGGTCAATTGTGACGATTTTGTTTAATGAATTGATTGATTGATTGTTTGTTTGGTTTATTATATTTTTGACACTTTTTGATTGAAAAGCCATTTTATTTATGAACTATTACTTCATTTATTTTCCCGAGCTTGCTTAACTAAATTGCAGAATTTTAATGTTCATTTAATTGTTTGGTTGTTTATTGATTTGTTCACTGATCGATTGTTTTTTGATATTTTCAGGACGTTTTCGGCACCAAGATGGGCCGAGTACATATTCAGTCACAGGAGATTACAAAGATCCAGGTAGGATGATGTTCAGTTTGTGTACAGTTGGTTTACAGTTATGTCAACAGTTGGTTTACAGTTGATGTACAGTTAGTGTACAGTTAGTTTACAGTTAGTGTACAGTTAGTTTACAGTTGGGTCTACAGTTGGTTTACAGTTGCTGTGCAGTTAATGTACAATTAATGTTAAGTTGCTTAACAGTTAATGTTCAGTTAATGTACAGATAATGTACAGTTGGTTTACAGTTGGGTCTACACTACAGTTGGTTTACAGTTGCTGTACAGTTTCTGTACAGTTGGTTTACAGTTGGTTTACAATGTCAGTTGGGATCTGTTTTATATTGTGCAGTGCAGAGTTCTGTAGTACAGAGCACTGCTCTGTACTATGTATATTGTACAATGTGTACATTGTAGGGTGTTCAGTGTTCTGCAGAACAGTGTACAATCTTTTGTACTTTGTACACAAGTGTACAATCGTTTTCACTACTAGTGTATAGTTGTACATTGTACCCTGTACTGCAAACTTTGCACTACAATGTTTATTCTGAGCAGAATAGCGGTCACCTTAAAGTAAGTTTGAGAGTAATGTTTAAAACACTGTTCACACTGCTGAAAATGAACCATCAGGATTCAAGTCGAAACACCTAATTTTTTTTTCGGAATATATTAATATACAGGCTTCTGAGTTATAATCTAAATTTTCAGAAAATGCCACCCAGGGAATTTTAAGTAAATCCATTTTTAAGAAATTGTAGAAATTAAGTGCATTTTAAAGTCTAAACTCAATCGTAACTGTAGGTTCAAAGATTAATCAAGATTATTCTGTGTTTATTTTTAGAACCGTTGATGGCAGGGTCCCCAAATTTTGTGAATTTTCCTTTACAGACATAAGACATGTCTTAGCTAAAAAATCAAACTTAAGTGAACTGTATGACTTTTAAAATACTGCCCTAAAAAGACTTTTTGAAGTAAAATCAGTAAAAATTACATCTAAAAAACTTTTTCGGGCCGCATTTTGACAGTTAGACAGTTGACTTAGGGGGTTTGATTTTTTGCTACAATAAGTTTTATGACTGTTAAAGAAAAATGAAAAAATTTGGAGACCATGTCATATACTGTTAAAAAAAAAATATCGCCAAAAACCCAGAAGAAGCAGATTAAAGTCATGAAATGAAATTTAAGACCTGTGAATGCACTTGATTTCTACAATTTCTTAAAAATTGATTTTCTCAAAATTCCCTCGGTGGCATTTTCTGAGAGTATAACTCATATAAACATAATCCAAAGAAAAAGTTGAGGTGTTTTGACTTGAAACCTGATGATCCATTTTCAGCAGTGTGTGTTCCCTGTACTCAATTTCCATTCTTAATTAGGGAAAGGTTTTCAAGGGTTACTTTGTGATTCGAATGTAGGGTTACTTGAAATCGCGGTTGTTACACCTCTAATAAATAATAGTTTAAAAAAATAACGGAGTTCACTTGCTTATACATATTTGCTTAATGTACGGTTGCATCATCATGACAGAAATGATTTAGGCATTAATTATTTTTCTTATCGTTTTTTGTTTTAGACGAGGAAGGTTCGAGCCCTGAAGGTGTCCAAGGAGGAGAAGTTGGAGAAGGTCGAGAAGAAGAAGGAGAAGGCCGAAGCAAACAGGAAGAAAGCCGTGGAGGCCATTTTTGCAGCGGAGGACGAGAACGCCATGGAGGATTAATTTTTTGGAAATTTCAGATAATATGCTAAAACCCGCGAAACGTAAGCGGCGAGAAAATGCGGGAAGTGGCGGGAAGAAACCCAGGCTAGAAGATGACCCGGCAAAGGAGAGGAAATTAGAGAAGAAGGAGAAGAAGGAAGAGGAGGCTAAAGTATTGATAGTGGATCGGTTGAACCTTAAGGTGTGAAATATGTTTTATATTAACTGTAACTATCAGTTTTATTATAAATAAAAAAAAATTTATGAAATTTATTTGACTGTGCAGGACCCATATCCAGCTCTCCTGGAGTTAACAAATAACAGTATAGAGGGGGAGGAGGGGGATCTGGTCGAGGAGTTCTTCAAGGGAGGGGGTCAAGTCAATCATATCATCAATATACTTCTCCTTAGGGAGGGTAAGGTTAGTATCTACTGCTAGGGAGTGTGGGGGGGGGGGCAACCTTATCATCAATATACTACTCCTCAGGGAGGGTAAGGTTAGTATCTACTACTATGGTGGTGGGGGGAGGGAGGACAACCATATCATCAAGATATTACTCTTTAGGGAAAGGTTATTATCTACTGCTTGGGAGTCAAGTCAACCATATTAATTTACTGCTTTTTTGGGAAGGAAAGGGGGAGGGTGTATATTTTTTTATGCAGTTTAATTTTGATAGATCGATTTTAGTCTTCATAAGATTGGATTCTTTCTAAAATTATATTTAGATGAGAGTTATCTCACAAGTTTAATAAAAATATAAAAAAATGTATGCATTGTTTAGGTTCGAGCGAATGATGTGGCCGCCGTTTTTATGGCGGCACGAGCAATTATAATGCGTGTAGTCAGGTATATAAAACTTAATTTTTTTGTTTCCTGACAGGCTCTAATGTCGTTTGTCAAATTTTTCTTTATTGTTTTTGTTAAGACTTATTGTTTAGGAGTGAGAACCCAAGTTTGTCATTTGGGGGCAGAGGCCTCGCGTTCTCTATTGAACTTACAAAGGTAACGTTTTTCACGCCATAATCGATAAATAAATGTTTTTTTTAAACTAGTCTTAGTTTTTTCACAGCACAAATTGTGTGAGCAATTATCTTCTGAAAATAAAAGAACTGGCGTTTTTTTATATTTTCAAAGCTTCGAAGAAATGTAAACTTCAATTCAATTCTTGTATTTCCTCGTTTATAGACATATTCCCCCTCCCCCTTCAATTCAATTCTTGTATTTCCTCGTTTATAGACATATTCACCCTCCCCCTCCCCCTTCAAAGCGTCATTTTCTTTAGCAAATCACAATTCAGTGATAGAGGCCCAAATCAATATTAATCAACACACAAAAAAACATAACTGTAGAGCGTAGATAGTAGAGTGTAGGTAGAGTAAGGTAGGTCAATTTTTAAAGAATTTTTGAAATCTTAATTGTTTGAACCGGATTTGTATGGAGCTTAAAAATTTGAACAACTTTGAGAACAAATTTTCCGTAGAATCAGTTTTAATAGGACGGATTTGACTTCTAATAAAGAAATACTTTAAAATCATTTGTAAAATTTTTTTTTAAAAATCTCCAGAACATGCTAATATGGGTAGCTAAGAATCCACATAAAGGACCTAAGGCCACTGATTACGGAATTTTTTTTCTTCTTGATATTCTAGAAATTGGTAGAGTTAATTCCCAAAAACGGGTTATTTTTTCTAAAAGACGTTTTAAAATCTAATACAAATGTTATGCTGGGAGAAGCAAGTGGAATTTCAAAAATCAAAATGAGATTAATAAAATGGCAAAATTAATTCATAAAAATTGTTCAATATTTTATTTGTTCAGGCCAGATCTGTTTTGAGATTGTTAACAGCAATTGTAACCCTAGGTAATCTATAATTTAACATTGTTTATAAACGATCGCGATAAATTTAATTTTAAATCCTGTTTTGTGAATTTATTTTTGATCTTTTATTTATTTAAGGTTGCTTGGATGATAAATTTGACTTCTTAGTTGACATTTATTGCTGACATTTTTTTGCTGATATTTATGTTACATTTTTTGCTCATATTTTTGTTAACAATTTCATTGACATTTTGTTAACGTTTTTGTTTACGTTTTTGTTAACGTTTTTGTTACGTTTTTGTTTAAATATTTGGTCTTTTTGTTAAAATTTTTTTTGTCACTTTTCTTGACAAATTTGTTTAAACTTTTGCTGACATTTCTGTTTTTATTTTATTTTACAATTTAATATAATACTTATTGTTTTTATTTTGTTAACATTTTTCTCACAATTTTTCCCGGCATTTTGAGAAGATAATTTGTTTTATTATTGTTTACTTTTTGTTCATAATTTTGTTCACATTTTTCTTTTTTTTCTTTGCATTTTTGTTTTGATTTTAATTAATATTCTTTTAATTCTTAGTTTTTACTTTGCTTACATTTTTGTCCGGATTTTTTTTTGACTTGTTTGTTCACATTTCTGTTTTTACATTTTTTCCTTTATATTTTTTTACATCCAAAATACTTTGAGGTTTCAGTGATGTAAATCCATCAACTTGGTTTAGAAGGATCAATCATAGTCGAGTTACGAGAAATGCAATAGACCCTTTAAATCTTGAAATCCAGATCTCCAGAACAAATGTAAGAAGTAATTTCTACAGTGTTCGGGTAAACCAGAAAATGGAACTCGATTCCATCAGTCATCAAAGAATCTTCTACAGTGAGTATCTTCAAAAGAAGATACGATGAATATAGAAAGAATCTGTGAGCTGCTGTAAGAGACATGCAAAACTAAGAAGAAGAAAATAAACCAGAAAGAACAATCCGCAACTCTTAAGTCAACATAATCATCCTCATAATAACTCTATAGGAGTTCCTGAGGATTAATCAACAATAAACAATACTAAAGTGTTTTTTTTAACAGATTTAACCCCCCAGCCTTTTCAGGGTCAATACTTATAATTACACTTGATGTTAAAAGAAGAAATTACGCCTACAAAGTGCCTGAAATATTACAAGGATTTACAAGAAACAAACCATTCAAATTTCAATTTTATTTTAGGCCCTTCTACAGCCCGTCTGCTGCTGACAAGATTGGAATGGGAGAACGTGAACTGGGAATCTTTGCCCAACAGAATTGAACCCAAGGTAGAGTTTTTATAGTTTTTTTACGATTCAAAACTGTTCCCTGATATGCTTTGTCTGACAAAGTATGATTCAGAAATTCATATAAATGAAATTTAATATGGATTCTCAAAATTGAAACCATCAAAACTTTGTCTGACAAAGAATTAGTTATTTTCATTTGCGAGTTTCCTATAAAATTGACTGGCAGGTTTCTTGCTCAAGAAACTGCAGAGAAATTTGTCAGAACTTAACTCTTATCAAGGTTGAAGAACTATCTTTCACATTATTGTCTAGACAAAGATTTAAAGGGTGCTGTTGTGAATTGGGCATGACCCTTAGAATAAGGTGTACAGTCCCTTTTATTAAAAGTCATTTGTTCAGGATGACCCAGACATCAGAACATGTTACATTCATTTCCTCCTTTCATTCTTAATGGAACCTAGCGCTATGGTCATAAAGGTCAGTTTCAGGGGTTAAGGGTTTTCATGGTCATTATGAAGTCATCATGGTCACATGTCAAAGTTCATTGCATTGTCGATTTTCATTTGTTATTTCTCAAAATTTTCGTTTTCATTTGGTTGGTTTACGAGCCTCATTGCTAACCAAACATGAAATAAGTAGTTATCCACAGTTTTCCTTTGATGAATACCTTTTGGGAATTCAGCATATTATAAGATTTTAAATAAAAGCTTATTCTTACCTCTTCTCCTACCCAGTGTTGAAGATAAGTTGTACTGTGATGAAAAGTTGAGAAAAGCTATAGATTGTTGACATTACATGTGTACTGCAGGGGTCCATATAATTCCATTTCTGATCCCAAATGGAATCGGGGTTGAAAGTATATTTAGGGGCGTGAAAGTACACTTTATATGTCATTTTGAACTTTGACAAGTTTTTAGTGTACATATTCTACGTTTCAGAAATGTGTACTGCATTTTGGGTGTTAAAAGATGTAAATAGTTGTATTTAATAATAGACATTAATTATGATATACAGAAAAATAAACCCTTGCAGTAAACATTCTGCAGTATGGAAATTTTTCTACAACTTGACATTTTACTTCAAATTGTTTACTATAACAACATGGTTTATTTCTGCCCCTAATATTGATCAAGTAATCAACATTTGGGATTGCCTGGTGTACTGTTGTAATGTAAACAAGCTTTTGTCATGTAAGATGTAAAAAATATCATTATGATTAAATATTATTTAATTATTCAATTTTATTTTATCTAAATAATGTTATCGCATAAAATGTGCCCTTTCTGAATATTATTATGTAAGTGCACATTAATCCTACATCAATTTTGTTTGTCTATTTAGAAGCACATAAATGTTTTAACCACATTTTTAAGCTAAACTTGATTATCTAGATGTGAACTTTATTTTCCTAAGACAAAAAGAATTTTGCTTGTTTTTCTAAGCCTTGAGACCTTAGCTTCTGAAATGCAATTCTTAGCTTTTAAGCTGAAAACTCGGAAAATTTCGTTAAGAAATCTTACTTTTTGTTTAAACACACTTATCCGTCATATGAAGATCTAATATGAAGAAACTTTCTTTATAAAAGTTTAAGAATTTTACATTAAACATGATAACTCGTTTGCTGTCCAATTTGGATCTATAGGTAATTAAATTAGGAAAACCTTAGTTTTATTATACTCACGCACATCAAATGTATTATTTTGGAAATTCACTTTACTCTGTATCTCATTCTTGATTTAGTAATTTCATCTTGAGATTGATGTGGATAGTCACTCTAATTGATTGATTGATTGAACATTTAACATTTTTCCAGGATTTTTTTGAGCGTAAAACTCGTCTCTACTCTATTCTACCCGGGCTAATATTTGATATTTTGTTTGTCTATTTAGAAGCACATAAATGTTTTAACCACATTTTTAAGCTAATCCGGATTATCTAGATGTGAACTTTGATTTTCCTGAGACAAAACGATTTTTGCTTGTTTTGACCTTAGCTCCTGAAATGCAATTCTTAGCTTTTGAGCTAAAAACTTTAATTTCGTTAAGAAATCTTATCTCTTGCTTAAACACACTTATCCGTCATATGAAGACCAAATATGAAAAAAACTTCTTTTATAAAAGTTTTAGAATTTTACATTGTCGCAATATTGTCTTTTTACATGATAACTCGTTTGCTGTCCAATTTGGATCTGTGGGTAATTAAATAAGGAAAACCTTAGTTCTATTATAATCACGCATATCAAATGTATTATTATGGAAATGCACTTTACTCTCATTCTTGATTTAGTAATTTCATCTTGAGATTGATATGTGGATAGTCTCCTTAAAACTCTGATTAATTGATTGAACATTTAACATTTTTTTCCAGGAATTTTTTGAGCGTAAAACTCGTCTCTACTCTATTCTACCCGGGCTAATATTTGATCCCTCGGAGACAGTTCAACTTGTTCTGGAGACTTTTAGGTAACTAGTGTGGTCTCTTTTTGCAGATTTACAATTTTTTTCGTGGATTTACAAATTTTACGAAAATCAAAAAATTTGGGAGACACCTTCTTTAATTCTAAGCATTCATAATATAAGGTCCCACCCAAAATTTGGACCCGATCGATTCAGCCGGTTTCGCGTTTATTGGATACAAACAAACATACAAACAAGCAATATTTATTTTTTTCCCCAGATCTTTAAAAATCATTTACTCCTGAATGACGTATGAATTATTAATAAAACTATGTAATAGGAATACGACATTAAGCATTCTTAACTGTATTTAGCTTTTTTTATGAAGCAATTAATTTACAAGTAACGTGATAAAGAACTTATTAAGTGAAATGGGTCTCTGGTTTCCACAATCTTATGTGTCACTAAGATATTTTTCCTAAAAGAGATATGGATTTTATTTGTTTAATTCAGATGTAAAATCCTGGAGAACGGGGCTGTTAGCAAAACCTACAAGATGAGATTGTTCGGAGCTCACAATATTAAACCTATCATTGCACTCCTCAAATGGCAAGGACCTAAGGTAGGCGATTTTTATGGATTTTTAATGGGAGTGTGCCAAAAATGAGTTTTGGAATACTAGGCTTTTAGGGCGCTTCGCGCCCATCTTCTATTTAAATCGTGAACATGTTCTTTTTGTTTACATTTTAAAACAAAGAAGAAAAAAATTTCGCGGATTTTCAAGAATTTAATTCTTTTTTACAAAATTAAAAACTTTAAAAAACATTTTTTTTTAATTTTTATCATTCGTGAACCTTCCCTGTGGTCACCTGATGTCCCACAAAAAAATGTGGGCCCGATCGTTTCAGCCGTTTTGACGTTTATTGGATACAAACAAACAGACAAACTAACAAACAGACAAGCCAAATTTATATATAAATATTCCCTGTTTGCTAAATAACGTTGTTTTTTAAACAGAAATTGTTGAAATTACGTTATTTTTACGTTTATCTTACAAGACGAGATTATTCAGAGTTTACAATATTAAACCTATTGCTCTCCTTTAATAGAAAGGTCTCTTATTTTGTGTATTTTCAAAGAGAGTTTAAAGGAAAATTAAATTTTATTAATTATACTTTTTATTTATAACCAGTAACCACCTGTTTTTGTATACAATTTCAGCTATAATTAGACAGGGTTGATTGAGGGAATAATTTTTAAGAGCTTTCAATCTGAGACCTGAGCTGAAAACTTTAGAATGGTAGATATTGAGATTAATGCTTGATCCTCTCTTTTTCTTAATCTCGAGACTAACCTTATCTTGTTCTTGTATCCTGAAAAGTGTATAACGTTCAACCAATCAGAGTCGCGTATATGAAGCCGATAAATTTAAAATTTTTCGCGCAATTTTAAGGTTATTTATAGAAACGGGAGGAACTCTCTAAATTAAAAAAAAACCGGTTTTTGATTTTTCTGTACTTCATCCAAGAAAGAAAGTTTAAGAAGAAAATCAAGATATCTCATTCTAAAGTTTTCAGCTCGGGTCTCATAATTTTTTCTTCCTGTGAAGGGGATGGGGTGATTGTATATTTTGAAAACTGAAAACTAACTGTTGTCTGCTCTCCTAAATAATTTAGATTATGTTGGCAAAAAAGTATGAACATTTAAAAAAAAAAGTTTTTTACAATTAAATGTTTGAAACAGAAATTTTTATTGTGCTTGTACCATCTTTTCTAATCCTTCGTTGATGTGAGGTCCCAAGAACATTTAAATTTAGTTTCAACTCTTCATATGAATATAAAGATGGAAATACATTGGGACTCATAAAACTGTATAAATATAATTAGATATTGTTAGAAAGGAATTAGTTTTACCAAGAAAGGAATTAGTTTTACCGATAGCGTTAAGTACGTGCAATGGATCTGTAAACACTGCACAGTGCACAACTACTGTGTTTTATGTTCATTTGACAGTTAAAATTCTGCCAGTTTTCTTCCTTTTCCAGTCTTATGGATCCCACCATTGCAGTAGTGTAAACAATTTTTTATTCATTTTTGGGAGAATTTTTATTTTGCATTTTTACTCGCAATTTCAGGATCTCGGGTACAAAAATATTCTTTTTTGTTTCGAGGCAAATAAGTAACATTTTAAACTTGGTTCCTGTCATATTTCGCGGATTTTCATTAAAAAAAAGTCGCACAATTTTTTATCAGATTGAATTAAATAAATACCTTGCGTTATTATTTGAGACGATATGTTTTTTGTTGTGATTTTACTTTTTTGGTTTAAATTTTTTAATCCCTCACTACGTTCGGGATTAAAAAATTCAATTTAAACCTTAAAAACAAACCAAAAAAAGTAAAAATCCAGGCAAAAAACATATCGTCCCGCATAATAACACAAGGCAGTTGCATTAATAGATATATTTGTCAAGGACGCAAAGAAGAAGAAGAAAGGATTGAAGAAGGATGAGGGAGATGATGATGAGGAGGAGGAGAGGTTGGAGGAGGTTAAAGCCAGCCTCCTGGAGTTTCTGAGGATCCTGCTTACCAGCACTAAGCATGGTTTGCTCTTCCAGGTCTGGGGAGTAGTTTAGAACAAAAAGAAAAGCAAAAATTAGATGAACTAAGCGCCTCCCATGTGCGCGCCGGTTCAAGCTGAAAAGAAGCAGTTAATCAGGATTCAACTGTCTCGCTGTTTATTAAATCTGGTCTTAAGAAAGACAGGGTTTAAGGCCTAACAAACCTTTACCAAATTAACTAATATTGAAATTTTCTAGAAATTTCAAATTTCAAATACAAAAAATGTCTTTTCTCTCCCTAAGTGTACTAAACTTGAACAACCCGAATGTGTACTTAACAACCCCAATTCAAATAACCCATGTGTACTGCATCAACCGCAATGTGTATTGTATAACCCCAATGTGTATTGTATGACCACAATGTGTATTGTATAACCCCCGATGTGTATTGTATGACCCTAATGTGTATTGTATGACCCCAATGTGTATTGTATGACCCCTGTGATTTCCAGCCAAAGCTGGTTCGTTCGGTTTATTTTATACTCATTCGTGCTCCCACTTTACGAACGGGCACAATCAATGTACCCTGAAGATTTAGTTTATAATGGAATGCNATTCAAGTATAACCCCAATGTGTATTGTATAACCCCAATGTGTACTGTAGGATCCTGAATATGGTTGTGAGAGAACTGCTAACCCTCTAGTTGCTGAAGTCCTACAGCAGATTACTAAACCCTGGATTCTGCCTGATGAAGCGAGGTATTACAGTTGTCAAATCAATCGGAAGGAAAGAATTTGTTTTTTAAGAGACTGTCGAACTATAAAGCCCCCCTCCCTCAAAGGGACTCTGCGGAAAAAAAGAAAATGAAAGTGTTGAATCAGGTGTGGGGGGGGGAGATACATAATGTAGTATAACCCATAACGCAACTGCTGATTATCAGTACACTGATCAGAATGTTCCAATCATAGATTAATCAAAATTACAGATAGGACACTAGATGGCGTTCACAATAATATTATACAGAAGCCCAAAGGAGTTACGCGTAGTCGGCGTAGAACAGGCTAGCTCTCTGTCTTGTAATTCTACAGGGACAGTGCCTGTTCAACGCCGACTACTCGTAACTCCTTTGGGCTTCTGTCTCAGGGTTATTGTGATCAAAAAGCACACAAATCTTAAAAAGACAATATCTAGTTTGTACTCGTAACGTTGTTTTTGAGACTTTAATAACATAAAAGCTCACTCATATCCAGGGCAAGTATTCCCTTATAACCAGCGCACCACATTAATACACGAGTGTTATGTTTATATAAGCTTTATTGAAGTAGTTTATCCTCAACTTCAGCTCTCACACTGTGAACTGAAATTAAATTATTATAATATAACAGAATTTATACGTATATGTTTACAAAAATTTGCTCCAGGTCTCAATAAAGAAATTTAGTTNGCGGGGTGACGCATCACTTCGGCTAGGATACGCTAGGCGATCCATCGCTGCGGCTAGGATACGCTAGGTGACCCATGCTGCGGCAGGTATACACTAGATTACAAAGCGCTGCGGCTAGGATACGCTAGGTGACCCATGCTGCGGCAGGTATACAATAGGTGACACATCGCTGCAGCAGGTATACGCTAGATGACAAAGCGCTGCGTCTAGGATACGCCAGAGGACCAATGGCTGCGACTAGGATACTCCAGAGAACCAATGGCTGCGACTAGGATACGCCAGAGGACCAATGGCTGCGACTAGGATACGCCAGAGGACCAATGGCTGCGACAAGGATACGCCAGAGGACCAATGGGTGCGACTAGGTCAATTATAATTATTTAGGGATGAGTGGTCTCCCCGGGAATCTGTTGTTTGGACGAAAATCATGGATTTCCTGTTTACAGTGTTCAAGAACATTAATGTAAATCATGTCAAGGAGTCATACAAGAAAAATAACAAGGTAAACAATGAAAGTGAATGTAGTGGCTCCAATACTAGAGTGCCAAGTCTCAGTCACAAACGGTACCTTTAATAGCAATGTTTCTTGTCTCATCAAAATTGCACGAGATATTTATTAATTTTGTTATTTTTTCAAAGTTGATTAATGTCGAGCATGACTTTTCAATTAAGTAACTTGCTTTTGTGCTTCAGAGACAATATGCAGGAAACCAAAATTAAAAACACTTTTCAAACTAGATAATGATGATTTTTTCCACATTTTGATCAAATTTTATACCTACCTACCTACCTATTTACCCATGTACCTACCTACCTACCTACCTACCTACCTACCTACCTACCTACCTACCTACCTACCCACCTACCTACCTACCTACCTACCTACCTACCTACCTACCTACCTACCTACCTACCTACCTACCTACCTACCTACCTACCTACCTACCTACCTACCTACCTACCTACCTACCTACCTACCTACCTACCTACCTACCTACCTACCTACCTACCTACCTACCTACCTACCTACCTACCTACCTACCTACCTACCTACCTACCTACCTACCTACCTACCTACCTACCTACCTACCTACCTACCTACCTACCTACCTACCTACCTACCTACCTACCTACCTACCTACCTACCTACCTACCTACCTACCTACCTACCTACCTACCTACCTACCTACCTACCTACCTACCTACCTACCTACCTACCTACCTACCTACCTACCTACCTACCTACCTACCTACCTACCTACCTACCTACCTACCTACCTACCTACCTACCTACCTACCTACCTACCTACCTACCTACCTACCTACCTACCTACCTACCTACCTACCTACCTACCTACCTACCTACCTACCTACCTACCTACCTACCTACCTACCTACCTACCTACCTACCTACCTACCTACCTACCTACCTACCTACCTACCTACCTACCTACCTACCTACCTACCTACCTACCTACCTACCTACCTACCTACCTACCTACCTACCTACCTACCTACCTACCTACCTACCTACCTACCTACCTACCTACCTACCTACCTACCTACCTACCTACCTACCTACCTACCTACCTACCTACCTACCTANTAGTTGTCCAGGTAAAGAAAAGTTAGTTGTCCAGGTAAAGGAAAAATAGTTGTCCAGGTAAAGAAAAGTGTGGGTAAACAGCGGGAGTAACTATGAGTATCCTGTTCAACGCTAGGTTCCCAAGCTAGTGTAATATAAAGTTGTAATCTCTGTATGTATGTCCGATCATGACTAATAAACCCCCTGACCGATTGGCCTCAAATTTGATTGCGGGGAATTCGGGAGAACCACGGAAATGTTCTTAACTTGGTTTTGAGATTGAATGAGTCGACTTTTATAGGGACAAAATAGCTGAATTAGCAATTTACAGCAAAGCGCGGGTAAACGGCGGGAGTATTTATGACATCTTTATAACGAAGTCGAGTCAGGGGATAAAAAAAGACAAAGATAGCTTGTCAGATAAAAAATTCTGAGGGTTCAAAGTTCATCGAAATTAGAAATTTCAATCATCTCAGAATTGTCAAAGGAAAAAAACACATTTTTCCGTTCCACAGGGTGGCCAAAATGTACGGATTGTACGGATTTTTTTTCTCCAAAAAACTGGATTGATTGTACTTATCGATTTTGACTCAGTAAAAGGCTAATTTTTGCATTAAAATTTTCTTTAAAAAAGTCATTAAATTGAAGATAAACTGACCCTTTGCTCTAGGAGGAACCAAGCAATGGGAATTAGGTATTGTATCTGTGTACGGAGGGTCAATTGAAATTACTTTTAAAACTAAATATTTTAAACTTTTTTTTAACTTTTTCTATTCTGTTTCTACAATTCATTCCAAAAAGCATTTCTCCGTTAAAAGGTCTATTCCTATGTTGCCTTAAATTATAAAATATTTTATATATTTTAATAATAATGATAATAATATTTAGATTCTTGTCGGTGGAGACATTTGCAATTCTGCTCAAGTGTATAAGGTAAGACTATTATAAAATCATTATTTATATAGTTAGTTTTTTATTTAATCATTCTTCTACATCTATCTATCTAGATCTAGTAGAAGCGAAGAGAAAAATGCAGCAGTCTCTATAATGTCAAGTATCGCCAGTAGAACTGGGATATGTCTAATTAATCAAACCGATCTGAATATTCTCCTAGATCTTTACAATAATTCAGGTTAGTACCGTTATTTTTTTTTCAATTCTTGTTCCTCTATTAAGAAACAATATGGAGGAAATGGTCCGAATAGAATACTTTTCTGGCTAGAAACACGATTTTTTCTTGTTATACAGATTTAAAGGGTATCGTTGGGAATCGAGCATCCCCTCTACAAATTTAAGTTTTCCTGAAATACAAGGACGGTCCCTTTTATTTCTATCTATCTATCTATCTATCTATCTAGACCTGGACGAGGAGTTGGGAAAGATATTCATGAGATCTGTATCGAATGCTGTCGAGTTAAAAACTGAAATTTCAGAATATACTTCAAGCAGTGTATCACAGGTTAATAAAACAATCAGTAGGATTTTTTCTACGTGGGGCAGGGGTGAATATTTTCATAAAAAATCATTCCACCCCGCCCCCCCTTTAGAAATTTTTTTTTTCGCTGAATCGGGGGAATTGAATGATTTTTAGCCGAAAATAAATGATGTTATGGGTTATTAGCATCTGAAAGAATGAAAGAACTTGCCTTTGATGTCCGATTTTTTCCCCCATTTTTCATTTTTTCCCAAACCATCAAAACTCACTTTGTCTACCTTCCCCCTGAATACTGAAAATAAACGCGATTGACGCCAACTTTCGAAACATTTATATTTTATGTGGAAACTTATATATATATCATTTTTCACGTGGAAACTCTTCTAATTTTATGAGGGTGGACTCCTTTTAACTTTATATCTAGTTATCTAATTATATAGAACTTCTAATCTTTGCTCATTTCATTAAGATTCTAGATGAAATTTAACATTAAATATTTTTGACGAAAATTTTTAGTTTCGCTGAAAATTTCGCATTTTTGCATTTCTTTCCTAGAAAAAAATGATAATAATCTGGTATGGCGCCGGCGGTCTGCGTGAGTGAGTAAGAAATATATAATTGGGAACAATTTGTTTTTTAAATAATATATTTGAAGGAATCTGTAGACAAACTTCTTGATTCTCTGATGGCGGGAGATCTAGATTTGAAATCTCAGTTGTTTAGGGTTAAAGGAATAAAATCTCAGTCTACGTGATATCGAATATGGAGTTAAGTCTGATACTTAGCAGCCAATATCGTATGTTTTAACCTCTTAAGAATTCTACACATTTTTCCATTGAAAATATTTTTTATGATTCTTTCAATAAAAGTTTGAGAATTAAGGCTGACGGTAAATTGGTTTAATATGAAGTTCTAGTGTCGATTTTTACTAATGGGATTATATCTTTTTTGTTTTGATCTTCTAGTCCTACAATTTGAACATTGATTCTTGAAGCTATTCAAGGTTGAAACCCCTCACTGAGTTTTAAGAAAAAAATGTCTTTTAACAAAATTTAGAAATCCCTCCCCCCACAACAAAAAGAACGTGAAAACAGTATTTTACATAGGGGATTCTTTCCACCAAACGCCCCCTCCCCCACCCCGCCCCCTCCTCTTGAATGTCAAAAAATGAAAAATTTCTAGTTATGTGTTTTTTTTTAAAGTATAAAATACGTTTTTGTATTCCTTTCTTAATTGTTCGTAACAAGGCTAACGACCAGACTGAGAATATGATGGTCGAGGACGAGGTTGAGGAAACCATCAGTCCCTTCATCATCTCCCTCATCGAGGCCGAGAATGTTCCCGAGCTGAGGACTCTCGTGGAGAACCTCCTTCAGTGTTTGATCATCCTCCACCCGGGACAGACCGTCCTCCGCCAGATTCTCGAGGTTAAATCCCACCTTCTCTCCCCCGGCGTCATGAAGATGGTTGCCAGCCTCTCTGGAAAATTAACAGAGAAAAAGTTGAAAAATCATCTGGTGTTTCTCACTCCAGACGTGGCAAAGCTCTCACCAGATCTCAGCGTTGTTTACGCAACAAAACTTGTTATGTACTGCAAACTAAACGAGGCTAGAATAGACGACCTGGTCCAGTTCCTTTCCGACCTCCCTGATTGTAAATTTGTACTGTCCCGGGTTTTTAATGAATCCTTGTACAAGGATTTTTCTCCCTACAGTAATGTTCATACTAAACTAGTTCTCACCCTGCTCGGTTTATCACAGCAGTGTAATCTACCCCTGGAGAAGTTTACAGATCAGATTACCCGCCAAACCCTGGTTCAACTTGAACAAGCAGAGGTTAAACTAGAGGGGCAGGCGGTTAAAGAAACCTTTAAAAATTTACAGTTCAAAATCTCAGATTTGGCTCAGCTGCTACTGAAATGTACTGAAACAGGTTAAAATTTTGTAGCTTTGTGTTAATTCTGATGATGATCTTAATTGATGAAAAACTTGGAAGTAGATGATTATAATATTAATGATCATGAGCATAATCAAAAATCAATACTATGCGGATTGTTAAGTCTAGAGATAATGGCTGTAATAACAGTCATAACGATTGTATTTTATAAATTATATGTGATATTGATGATGTTTTGGTAATAAAAGTAACAATCATTTCAATGATGGTGATAATGGTGATAATGATTATAATGATGATAATGATGATAATGATGATAATGATGATAATGAAAAAGATCATTTCATGACAAACTCAGTTTCATGATTTATAATTAAAATGCTATGATAATGTAAATCATAATATTGATTAAATTGATATGAAAAATAATGATAATGAAAATGACAATTCAAAGAGTTATTATGATAATAATTTTAGGACTAACCCAGTTTCTAACTGAAGAAAAGGAATTGACCTTGAAAGGTGTAATTCTGTCTTCCCTACTGTGCGCTGCAGGTCTAGATATAGAAATTCTTAACATTAAAATGTCAAAAATGATTTTTTTTGTTTAAAATCCAAAACGTACCAAAAATCAATCTTTTTTAAATCATCGTTTTATTTATATATTTTTCCATAAATTTTTTTAGAACCTTCAGTGAACCATGAATTCATAATTAATCCTGCTCTATCCCTTTAACTTTTTGTGAACATTTGTTGTAAAAAAATTGATATGAATAAGAATTTCCAATGAATTCATAATTAATCATGCTCTATCCCTTTAATTTTTTGTGAACATTTGTTGTAAAAAAATGATAAAAATAAGAATTACCAATGAATTCATAATTAATCCCGCTTTATCCTTTTAACTTTTTTGTGAACATTTGTTGTAAAAAAATGATAAAAATAAGAATTACCAATGAATTCATAATCAATCCTGCTCTATCCCTTTAATTTTTTGTGAACATTTGTTGTAAAAAAATGATAAAAATTAGAATTTCCAATGAATTCATAATTAATCCTGCTCTAACCCTTTAATTCTTTGTGAACATTTGTTGTAAAAAATGATAAAAATAAGAATTACCAATGAATTCATAATCAATCCTGCACTATCCCTTTAATTTTTTGTAAACATTTGTTGTAAAAATATTGATATGAATAAGAATTACCAATGAAGTCATAATTAATCCTGCTCTATCCCTTTAACTTTTTGTGATCATTTGTTGTAAAAAATGATAAAAATAAGAATTTTCAATGAATTCATAATTAATCCTGCTCTATCTCTTTAATTCTTTGTGAGCATTTGTTGTAAAAAAATGATAAAAATAAGAATTTCCAATGAATTCATAATTAATCCTGCTCTATCCCTTTAATTCTTTGTGAGCATTTGTTGTAAAAAAATTGATATACATAAGAATTACCAATGATTTCATAATTAATCATGCACTATCACTTATAATTTTTTGTGAACATTTTTTTTTTTAGGTAATCGGAAGAAAACTGTTCAAAACTCTACAGTCAATGTGCCAGACGCTCAACCCGCTGTCCTCCAACTGTCAGGTTCCACAGTGGAGAAGCTGTCTGTAATTGTGGAGTTCATCTTGGGAGACAGTAGCAGCACCAGCTGCTGTTCTGACATAGCGAGCAGCTTCTTTGGGTTCATTACAGCTCACCCAAAGCTGTCCGTTCATCTGTCCAACAACCTGTTTTTTATTTCTCTAACCAATCTGTCACGTGATAAGGCAGAGTTACGTGATGAATCGGAGTCACGTGATGTATATATTCGGTTAATCTGTCATCTCGTCAAACATTCAGAAAAGTAAGTTGATCATTTTTTTAAAACANAAATGATGATCTAATACAGAGGCTTACGCCTGACACGTGTTTTAATACAGTATCCCGTACTGAAAATGCTACATAATAAAGAGTGGTTAGCGTATATATTATACCTATGAAATATCAGCTACCGAAACCAACTTGTTAATGATAAATTTGCTGACCACTGTACTTGCCTTTTTTCTCGGAAAACGTATTTTTTAATGACAACATTTTTTGTTTTTTTTTTAATTCTGAAAGATTAGCCATTTTGTATTGGTAATTTAAGGAAATCAATATGTTTCATGATTTAGTCACCATCTGTAGGCGTGAGACAAGGACATTTTAAAACGCAAAAAAAAAGATTTTTATTATGTCTCTTAATCTTTAACCTGTTTTAAAATGATAATTTTTAAATTAATGCGAAAATTTTTAGGATTTTAACTGCTTTCTCAGATTGGCTGGGGCAGAAGAAAACCAATTTTGAGAGTCAGGATGTTTTACTTATTGTAGATGGTCTTATTAAACAGGTAGATACCCCCATATCATTGTTCTACTTAAAGTAGATGGTCTTATTTAACAGGTAGATACCCCCATATCATTGTTCTACTTAAAGTAGATGGTCTTATTTAACAGGTAGATACCCCCATAACATTGTTCTACTTATTGTAGATGGTCTTATTTAATAGGTAGATACACCAATATCATTGTTCTGTAGTAGATGTTACAGGTAGATACCTCCATATATTAGATGATTTTGTTTAACAGGTAGATACTCCCATATCATAGACAGTCTCTTTTTGAAGTTGTTTGTCTAGGGTATGCTAGATCAGCTGGCAGAGGAGAAGAAACTTGTTAAATCCATCCTCAAGCAGATTATCAGCTCAGCTGAGTTCTACCTGTTCCAACCTCTCCCGGATATTCCCGTTAAACCCTTCTCCGTCCTCGTCTCCGTCCTGCAGGATCTCCGCCCCGTCCTTACCTCCTCCAAGTCAATCTCCGCCGTTGGAAAGCTGTTCTCCGAGGTGAAGGATACCCTGAAGAGGATAAGGGAGAACAAGGAGTTAAAAACCAGGAAAAGATGACAGAGATTTACTTCTATATATGTATATATATATATTTCCCCACCCCCTCTTCTCCTTGAGAATAATGTTTTTCTTTTAGGGTTTTGTTCACTGAATTTTCCAATTTTAATTTTCATGCTTAAAAAGCGAGGATTTTTTTCACCTTATTGTTTAAAGTTATGATTACATGAGTACAGTTGTTGCGGGTCCATTGAAATTTCGCTTACAGTCCCTTTAAATCTCTCTTATTGTGTTTGCCTCTAGGATTGTGAGCCTTAGTATTGAGTTTAGTTTCTCCCTTCTCTCCGTCCTCCAGGGAGGGGAGAACCTCGGGAAGAAGGACATCATGAGCTTCGTCCTTGTTCCTTGTGTCGAGTTCGTGGCGGAGAATTTAAAGATGTCCGCGGATTTACATCAGGTAAGCGTTTTGCAGGGGTATTTATTTTTTAGGAAAAGCATCTTCTTCCTCCTTGCAACATTATTTTATGTTTTTTTTTATCCCTCAACAGGGAAGGAATTGAAGGAATTTGAGTTGCGTTGCTGAACTCAAGCTACTTACTGCAAGTTAAAATTTGAACCTGCGCCGATTCAAAGTAAAAAAATATAAACGGATTTGAATCGGTAAAATTCAATAGATTTGGTCCCTGGAAGAAAATTAAAAATTTGGCTAAGTGGTTCCAAAAAGAGGGTTAGGAATAGCAGTTTTCCACATTATATTGATATGTTTAACTCGCATCAAACTTGCATTTTTAAAGTCCTGTATCTTTTTAACCTGATGGTGTAAACTTTTGATTTTTAAAATTTAAATTTATCGATACAAATTTTGTGAACAATTCTTTTAAATGATTAATTTTCAAGGGTGAACTGGAGCGTATCTGTAAGATCGGAGTAGAGACGGCTCATACACAGACTAGGGCAGCAATAGAGAATTATCTTAAGTAAGTAAATGTCGTCTTCCACACCAGAGTACAATCTGAATGTCGTTTTCGACCAAAAGGAGTTAAATATTTAAAGATAGATACACATCGATAAAATTAACAAAATACTCTATTTCTTTTGGATTAATATTTTTTTTTTACAGACGTTTTCTTGTTGGGGGCTTGCACATGTTATTTCAAATAAATCTCCAATTATATAATTCACAACGGTACCCTTTGTCTGATCATTAATGCATTGCATAAGATATAAGTTGATTTTTTTCAATTATGTGTTCCTTTACAAAGCGACGAACGGACTCATTTCAGCTTCAGCAATATTAAAGGAAGTTGTCAGAAATCAGCGCCGACGATATTTTCCGCATTAATGACCAGACTAAGGTTTTAAGGGTACTGTGTGATACTGACCAGTCCTACTTTAATTGAAAGGACCATTAATTTAAAACTATTTGTTTGCCTTTTTTATAAAAAGCACTTTTCAATTCAAGAGACATCAAAGTTCGTCAAATTTCTTATTTATTTTGGTGGATTTTTAAAATTTTAGATGCATTTGTTTAAAGAAATTATTATCCTTACTAGTTCAAACACTTTTTTATTTTTAATCAGATAACAAACAAACAGACAGAGTTGAATCAATGATGATACCAAGTAGTGCACTTGTATCATTGTTAGAGTGTGTCTGTTAATCTGGGTATAATGTCAGATGTCGGCTGTACAAATTAATTCAACATGAGTATTAGTAGAACAGTTAAATTAAACACATGAAAGGTATATAACAGCAAGTGGTTAGAATTATTTTTTTACATAACAAAAGTATTATGAATCATGCATTCAACGCAATCTTTTCATTCACTTCATTCCTGACTTAATAATTTCATTTCAAGTTTCGGGGTTGGATAGTAGGAAATGCCTAGCAGCCGGATTTTTTTTGACATTGACTTGACATTGAGGCCCCAAAAACTCAAGAATAGGAGGACAACATTTCAGCATTTTTATTTGTATTTAATGTTGATAAAAAGCCAATGGTTCAATGGTTTTAAAATCAATGAAATCGTGAAATGGGTGTGAAAATGCATAATTGCTGTCATTCATGGAATGCTGAATATGTATTTCAGTACAGTTTGATTTCACAAACAGCATTATTGAGTTATAAAAGCATTTACTATAGAGATTTGATTTGGTCGATACATTTTTGATCTCTAAATTGTCTCGAGAGTACAATTTACAAATCTCACCCAAGATATTGTACTATTAAAACTTATCCCGCAAAAAAAAACGTATCGCCAACTATGTAATTCGGCCGTACATTGGTATTTTTATGTCCCTTAGCGATCACATAGCCTCTATTTTATTATGTTAAGTAAATTTTAATATTCATTTGAAATCTTGAATTTGAATTTTAAAAATGTTTGAAAATAAAAGTAAAAAATTCGCAAAACTTGGAAGAAACTTCGCAAATCAAATCAGAACCTTGAGCTGAACACACAAAGGACATCCAAGTAATGATGGGCATTGGGCATCAAGGATGAAGATCTACACAACCTTCGACGATAACAAGATTGCGAATAAGAAGGCGTACACAATACACATAGTCTTCGCAGCAAATTAAGAAGTTTCCCTAAGGTTACACAGGAGATCGGGCCAGCCCATTGAAGATGCCATTTTAGTCATATTTCAGCCATCTAGATCCGGAGAATAGAATAACAACCTTCTTGACTTTTAAAACTTTCAGGGTGGCCAAAATGTACGGATTGTACGGATTGATTTTTTTTAACCCTAAAATTGTACGGATTGTACGGATTGTGCGGATTGTACGGATTTGTTTTCAAATTGTACGGATTTTTATCCAGGAAAATACACCGGTTTTTTTTAATTTTTACTCATTTCAGCAAATTTTTCATGAAAATAAAAAAAATTCTCGTCAAAATGAAGTTAGTTTAACTTATTTTCTGCATTCTAAATAATATTAGATTGATTAATGAGAACTTTATGCAGATTTATGAGAGAGTGATAAGTAGTTAAGATCTCCGCCATATTCCTCGGACACTCTCCGCCATTAAGTTTTCAACAAGGTAGATACAGGCGGCGGAAGATTTAATTACAAAATTAGCTTAGGTCTCCGCCAAATTCTCAGGATACACACCAATAGTACATTTTTTCAACAAATTTAAAAATTGAACAAATTATGAATATTTAAATACATCACACACATGAGAGAGGAAAATTGAGCCACATGGAATTTTTTTAATAATTAAAAACAGGAGTTACATAAATAGACAGAGAGTCACATCCAAGGTACTAATGCAAGGAAAGTTAATTGCAGTTGTGTATACTCTGCGTACATATTGAAACCAGTTCTCTCTGGGCGGAATTTGTTAACAAGAATAGATGCATCAGTGTTCGTTTAGTATCCGAAGAGGATAAAATTTTGCATTCAATTTTGATAATTTTAATAATTCACATAATAGTTTCCTATGACCAAAATATTTCATAGTTGATTTTTGTGGAAATTGATTCCATGTCAGGCTGTGACATCCGTCTTGTGTTTACCTTTCCGCCCAAAGACAGTACACTGCAGTACAAAAAATGCGCACACCTCAGAAATAACTTTCATTGCATTAATACCTTGGTCACAACCTTTGTACTCTAAAATAAGCAAATCCTCGAACACGTGATAAATTTAACCCTGATATCCGCAGAAGACGGGTTGAAATTATATTTATTTATTAATGAATGATATGTTTAGATATTGTGGAACTGGAGCAATGATAAATCTCATCAAGATTCTCAAAGATCTTGAAGCGGTCAGTTTCAAGCGTACAGAATCCGCTAGTGCCGAGCAGAGTTTAGATGAAGGGTCGTTGCAGAGTTCAGACGAAGGGTCCGACCCTAGGATTCAGACTCTGCAGATTATTATAAATATTCTGGACTCTGAACAGAATATGGGGACGTTTCTCACTAGGTCAGTTTTTTTTTTATGCGTAATCAATATATATATATAAAGTTGTTTCTCTGTTTGTCTGTCCGTCAGTTTGGTTGACCGATCATAACTCATGAACCCCTGTACCGATTGGCCTCAAACTTTGATTGGGGAACTCGGGAGAACCACGGAAATGTTCTTAACTTGGTTTTGAGCTTGAATGGGTCGACTGTTATAAGGACAAAATAGATGAATTCGCAATTTACGACAAAGTGCAGGTATACGGCGGGAGGTTCTATGAGTACCCTGCACAGTGGTTCCTAGGCCGGACAAATTAAAATAAGTTGTTCTTAATTTTACTTGTTTTTTTTAATATGACATCTTTATAACCAAGCCGAGTCAGAGGATGAAAGAAGACAAAGATAGCTTGTCAGATAAAAAATTCTGAGGGTTCAAAGTTCAACGAAGTTGGAAATTTCAATCATCATAAGTATTGTCAATGAAAAAAACGCATTTTTTTCCGTTCCACAGGGTGGCCAAAATGTACGGATTGTACGGATTTTTTTTTTCTCCAAAAAACTGAATTGATTTTACTTTTCGATTTTGACTCAGTAAAAGGCTAATTTTTGCATTAAAATTTTCTTGAAAAAAGTCATTTAATTGAAGATAAACTGACCCAAATTTGCTCTAGGAAGAACCAAGCAATGGGAATTAGGTATTGTATCTGTATGGAGGGTCAATTGAAATTACTTTTAAAACTAAATATTTTAAACTTTTTTTAAACTTTTTCTATTCTGTTTCTACAAGTCATTCCAAAAAGCATTTCTCCGTGAAAAGGTCTATTCCTATGTTGCCTTAAATTATAAAATATTTTATATATTTTAATGATAATGATAATAATATTTAGATTCTTGTCGGTGGAGACATTTGCAATTCTGCTCAAGTGTATAAGGTAAGACTATTATAAAATCATTATTTATATAGTTAGTTTTTTATTTAATCATTCTTCTACATCTATCTATCTAGATCTAGTAGAAGCGAAGAGAAAAATGCAGCAGTCTCTATAATGTCAAGTATCGCCAGTAGGACAGGGATATGTCTGATTAATCAAACCGATCTGAATATTCTCCTAGATCTTTACAATAATTCAGGTTAGTACCGTTATTTTTTTTCAATTCTTGTTCCTCTATTAAGAAACAATATGGAGGAAATGGTCCGAATAGAATACTTTTCTGGCTAGAAACACGATTTTTTCTTGTTANGTAGGATGGTTGAAGTTATGGAGAACACGCTTAATCTAAGATCTGTATCACTATTATATAACATCATTACATATATTAAAGTTTTTTAGCTCAAGACCTTTTTTATTATCGGAAACAATTCTTTAAAAGATGTTTTATAAACCTGGTAAAAGCTGAGGCCTGGAGACTTAATAGGGTTATAAATATATCAACCCATTCTTCGTCTGAAAAAGACGATATATAGTTTTCAAGGTAAAATTATTATTTCAAAATTAAAATCTTTGTTATACAAAATAAAATCTTTACTCTCAAATTAAAAGTTTTCTTTCTTGTGTAATCTCAATAAGATAAAGAATTCTATATAAAAAAGCTCATGATTAACATTTCTCATGGCTTGATAAGATTAAAAGAACATATAGGGTTATATAATTCGGGACATTGATTCTTTAGTATAAGGATAAATAATCAAGAATATTAGAAACGTAGGAGAAAGTTCGAATTTTCATGTAGTTTCAGTTTCAACTTTCTCCGCTCCAACTTCTTCACATTCATCACAGGGATTCTCCAGGTTTTTCAGAAATCCTGAACATTGAAAGTTTATTAGAATTCTTCAAATTCCACATAGTTTCCTATCTGTTATTTTAATTAATCTATGGTTCCAATATTAATTTTGACCTCAGAAATGAATTCTTCATGACCCAATTAGCTGTATGTCGATCACATACAAAAAGTAAAATTTGTTGTAAAATGACCCAACACATAACCACTGGCCACTAGTGTGCCGGTCAGAATACCCCAATATTCATTTTGACCTCGGAAATGCGTTTGATTACAGTTTGATTACAATATTGTAATTATTGTATTTAATTTCACTATTTATGTATAATATTTAATTCTAATATTTAATCATAATATTTAATTTTTATATTTAATTTTT